GAGGTTGTATAGCGCTTAAAGAGCTTGTACACCGCAGGTCACACATCCCCATTCACCCCCTGGTGACAGAGGCTGCTACTGTCACACTAAACCATAAAACACAGAACCCAAATGCACGACTTTAAGAATACCTAAAGGTTCAAAATACAAGTCTGTTTAATCAGAAAAGGGTCGATACACAGGAATCCAATACACAAGCTGAGGTATCCAAAACGATATGCAAAAGACAGGTCAATAATACGGAAACGGGTCAAAATACTAAATCAGAAATTCACTAAAGGCTGGAACGTGGTCACAAAGGAACAAGAAGAACATGCACTGAAGAAAGAGAGGAACACAGAAACTTAATACTCAAGGGAAGTGAAGACAGTTAGACACAGGTGAGACACATCAGGTGAGAGGACAGGAAGCCAAGGATCTGAAACAGGACACAGGGTAAGTATCAAGGCAAAGAGGAAACACAAGACATAAAACATGAGAAATAACAGAATGAACTATACTGTCATTGAGATGTGACAGCTACAATATGTAAAGTGCCCATCAGTAAAAAAACGAATCTAATGTGCCGACGAAGCAGCGGGAGCAACACGGGGTTAAGAGTCTTGCCAAAGGACATGTGACTGCAGAAGCTGAGGATCAAACCCCGAGCTTCTGATTGAGAGACAACCGACTCACACCCCAGGGGTTGTGCTGAGCGCTGAGCATTCGTTTGAACTAATAGAGGACGCTGGAGTACCCTCAGAGAAACCACAAATGCAAGGGGAGAACATGCAATCATCACACAAAAAAAAACATGACAAGGCCAAAGGCTGTTGGTCATCTTGGGAAGACTGAATGTTCAGGGCTATGGCGTCCCACAGGGGTGCATTAGACCTTTGCTTTTTCTATTCTAAATGGCCTCATAATAATTACCGTTTTGAAATGTTGTATAGATGTTTGACATGACTCCCACTGAGATATTAAGTACTGTAATTTATATTAAAATCAATGTACAGTCTTAATGATTGTTACATATTGTCACCCAGCAACTGATATGAATAACTAATAACAATGACATCATCAAGAGAATGGACAAGTCCTGCTCTTTACGTCAGGTGCCTTGAGATATCTTTGTGAGTTTGCACATTAGGACTAGCTAGCTGTGATGTATTTCCAACCTTCTTCTGCCCTCTGCTGGCCAGCTACCTAAGTATTAAAAGGTATTTCATTTGGAAATAATTCATACCATTAGTAGAATAATGAGAAAAGATTAAGCGTTCACTACAGTGATACAATTTGACCACAGAGTAACAGGCGCAGTGTAGCAGATCTGTGGCTGTGAATACATCATCTCACACAAGGATCAGATTAAGGTTTTGTTTTGTTTAATGTTTGACAAAATTTACATGAAATAAACATCATATAACATTAATCCCTGAATGGTCTTAATTCAAGATTTGCCATTTTAATATAATGTGTCTTTATATGAGAACAAGATATCCACCATGGTGGCTTGAAATCTTTATCTGCCACAGCCAACACTTGCCCTGCCTTTGGCTGACGGCAGGTTCTGATGTCATTCTCTGATAATATTAAACTTTAGTGTAACCCATAAAGAAGCAAATGATCTGAGACTCCTAGCAGCTTTTAATTCCCACCAAATGATTCAGAACCACTCTAAGTGTTCCTTCAATGGATTTCACATTTCAAAAAGTCCCTTTTATGTCAGAAAATAATGTAGGCAATTGACTGTAGCCACTAAATTACATTCAATAAGCTTAACTATTAACTTGACAATTGTCGTGAATTCCAATTACATTTACTTAAATTGTAACTTACCAAAGCAGAACAGTGTTATGCTTGTATTGACTGCAAGGTAAAATAAAATATCAAATTTCTGATATTTCTATCCCAACATTTTTGTGGTGAAACAGCACCACTAATAATAATCTTATTAGTACAAGAACCACATTTATAGGTGTCAGATTGCTGAAGCGAGAAAAGCACGTGGCCTTGTGCCATGTTTAGCATTAAGTGACAGATCAACCGTTTGGTCAGAAAATTGTCCCTTATAATACATTTTATGAAATAAGTCACATAATGCTGTTAAGTAATGTGTCTGGCACTAAAAATGTCTTATATATATTCTTGAAGGTTTGCCAGACAGAACCAATATGTCAAGAGTGATTCTTACATTACTGAATCCCACATTCAAGGGATACTGAGAAGCCTCAGTTTTCAGAAACAGTGATAAGTGGATTTTTTCATAACATCCCACAGGTTAAGTTCAACACTCTAACAGTGAGACAGAGTGACTCAAAATATGCTCCACCTAAAGGTCGAGCCAGAAGTTTTAACAAGTTGTATCAGTTTACAGCCATGCTTTTCTCTTTTAGAAATCCATAGTGATCATTGATCAAAGACTAAAACAGCAGAGAGTACAGATCATGATCACTGAGCAGCTCAATACAATCTCAGTGATGACTTCATGTCTGGCAGACAATATAGGTCCTTGTTGTGAATGTAAGAATTGTTTCTTTCATTTGCCTTTAACCATCGTATATGGAGCACACATGAAGAAGGCGGCTACACCGTTAATAAAGTAAATATATTGATAAAGGTCAAGATTTGAGTTGTCCTTTGTTGTCAAGTTGCTGTTGCATGTTTCTAAAGAGAACTAGAATAGTACCTGTGGTAGTAAGACTCCCAAGTCATTGGGCCAAGTGACCACAATGAAGAAACAGAAAACATGCACGAAGAAAGCTTCCAGTGGTTATAGTTTCAGTATACGACTCTCGTGAAAAAAAAAAAAAAAAAAATCACATGTCCCTGGAAATATTACCATTTTCACATAGCAATACTCACACACTGTTGGCAAAGGATGATATGTACAGTGTCCATCAGTATTAACTAATCCCATTAATATACATTCACATGCAGAGTGAGAGCTATTTGGGTTTCAGTGTCTTGCCCAACCACACTTCGACATGTGACTACAAGAGCTCGGGATCGAACCCCCATCTTTCCGATTGAGACGACCGCCTCTACCACTGAGCCACCAGGAAGGAAAAGGTCAAACAGGAGAAACATGAATGAAAACAGGAGTTCAAATGTATGCTTATGGATGTATTTTAATAAAAATAATTCTGTCAAAATTAAACAGAATACAATATTTATTTTTTTAACATGTTTCCAGTACATAGGTATTTTTTTTCAATTACAATTTTTCCTTTTTTTATTTTGTTTTAAAAGTCATGCTAAGTAGAGGGTAACTCAGTTCCCAGTTGTTGTTTTTATTTTCATTGTTTGTTAAAACTCAAAATATGAAATCAAAATTATGATAGAAGTCAATTGTCTGTGACGCCTAAATCCATTCCTCCAGCCTCTCAAAAAAAAAAAAAGTCCACGTGGCTTCAGAGGCCTTGGGCCCACTTTCGAGACTGTTCACACCCTCCGTTATGTTAAAACGATCACTGATCACATCAGTGCCTATGTCTATGTAGGGATTTAGAGGAAGAGAGTGTGATAACAGTGCTGAGACTCAGCCCAGGCTCAAACACAAAGGACAGCTGGGAGACTTGTTCCCTACAGGTATGTAACAAAGGTTGTTCATTAACGGTAAGTGTGTGTGTGTGTGTGTGTGTGTGTGTGTGTGTGTGTGTGTGTGTGTGTGTGTAACAGAAGTCCTTTTCAGCTGTGGAAGCAGAAGTTATGAGTGTGTGTATTAGAATAGTTCCTATTATAGCAGAAGGTCTTTACAAAAACAGCAAGGTAAAACTTTGACAACATACCCTGTAGTAAACCCCACATTGCATACACACATCTCCAGTTTTATATTAAACCATGTTTTGTTTTGACCATAGACTTAAATCTTATAAATGGTAATATACACATCAAGGTGGATCCACAAGCCATTCCCAGGGCACAACAAAGCAGCCGCAGTAACAGCTTGCCCAAAAGTCAAACAACATTCAGTCAGTGCTATTTGGCAGAAAACAGGTCTGGTGTAAAAACAAAAAGAATTCAAATATGTCAGATAGAGCTAAGAGGTGGATCTATTCAAATGTATAATCAAGAGGGGAATATTGATGAACACAGAAGTTTGATATTGTTTAATCTAATTCACGATTTTTGTCATAAAAAATCCCATTCCCCCTTATCTGCAGCGAAACACACAATCATGATAGTGTCAAAATAAATGTCAAAATAACATTACGAGGAGCCAACTAGTCCATTATTAAAGGTATAACCAGGCTGTCAAGCTTCATATTTTTAAGTACAAGAGCCAAAAAAACTGAAACATTTGAGTTATAACTCAACTTGGTTCTACTCCTGTTAGCCAAAGAAAGGACAATAAATGTGTGTTCAGCTCTTTAGAGTTGTGTTTGACTTTCCTTTGAGGGAAATACCCATGATCAAAAAACAGTGCCACACTCTTCTCACTTTAATGCTGAGTAATAAACTCAAGGTCAAGAATCAGCCTTGCAACTTAGTTTGATAGGCAGGTCATGTTTAAGCCTTGAGCATAATTTGATATACGGTTAGTTTCTATTTAATGCAGTGTGTTAATAAGCAACCACCATCTGAGCTGGTGAAGTACATACCACAACAAAGAGCTAGTAAGTCGCCTACAGGCAAGAGCTAGCAGGTAAAGTAGTGGTAGCAGTCGCTGAGCCGACGTGCACAAGCTGTTAGAGCTTGGTTGAAAAGAGAGGGAGCAGGAAATATTTCCCAAAACAAAACGAAACGAAAACAAAAAGATTCAGTGAATGTTGCAATCATGAAAAAACAACTTTTGAAAAGGGTATCCCAATTACCTGTAGACCAATATTTAGATTAAATTAACTCACCATGTATGTATAAGTTCAATCATATATTCAACTGAAGTAATTTGTATGATTTGTTCCCAATATGTCATTTATTTATCCCTCTTATTATTATATGAAATGTAGGCTCATTATTAAGCAGACAGCAATGAAGGTTCAATGAGCATGCTGTAGCTTTTTTTTTTTTTCCTTCAATCTGAACTTGCCATTTGTTTTTCTGTAACAGCTGATCTGACTCCAAAATCACACCTGCTGATCCAGGTCAATGTGGATACTTTGTAAATCTCATTTTGAATCCAGTTATTGTACACACTGAGCACCACTTTGAGACACTCTTCTGTTTTTGTGGTTGGCCATATGAATGAGCCTGACTTGACTATATCTACCTGTTTAATAACAGGGAAGGAAATGGTCACCTTATGGATGTAAGAGAAACGGATACAAGTTGTCATGAATAAAAACAAAAAGATACACGTACAATTGGTTTCCACAAACACTGAGTGGTCAGGTATCACCCGTCCAAAATGAAAGTAAGAGTGGGATTCAATTATCACCATCTGCATCTTGAAAATAAAAAACCTTCCTTTGTGGCAAATGAGTTCATATCTGACTTTGGGCACACAGCAGACTGCCAATGTAACAAATGAATCCTGCTCTAATGAAACGCCCAGGAGTGACTTGACTTCTTGCTGCGCTCTTTCTGTGCTTGTTAGTCTGCCTATGATAATGATTGGCATGGCGTGGAGTTGTGTAAGCAGGTATAGTAGCTGCAGCTGTGGCTGAGCTCTGCCACCTTCAACAACACCACTGATTGTGTGATGGTCTAATCCTGACAGTAAAATCAAGACTATAACACCTGCAGTCAAATTCCAATCCTGGTTGCTGGCCGTATTCACCCCCGCAGAGGCCTGTCAATTATGTGTTTTATAAAAGTTATGTTTTTTTTTCAGAATGTGTGTCTCGTTTTTTGAGCTTGTAGCCTGTTGACTACGTCCTTTCCCTCTAACCTTCTGGAACAATTTGGGGACCCACTGATGTCCAACTAACAGCAGCTAACTACTGTAGCAGCGTGTTTACGAGAAGGCAAAAGCAATGACCAGAAAAGTGAAATGCTCCACACAATGACAAGTGTTTTTCATGTTTGCTCATCCTCGTGAATGTAGACTCAGATTGAGCTGTCAGACAAGTAAGTTTAACCTTCAGTTTTTGGACTGAACAAATGTAGGTATTGTGGTCTGTGATATGGTAAACAACAACAATGTGAGTAAAATACTGAAGGTAGGGAATCAAAATCCACCCATGAAAAACAGAAGCAAAAATAAAAAGGGGAGTTACATGTTGTCTTGTCCAGGATGACCACAACAAACTGACAAAAATAGAACTATAAAAATGGCTAGATAAACAGAATAATAATTATCTTTAAATAGTGTCACACATTTCTTTATTTGATAATACTAAATTAAAAGGAAGCTTTCTTCTTTCCTCGTCTCCTCCGCTTCGCTTTGTGCCGCTGGCTCGGTTTGACAGACAGCCAAACACACCAATCACACTCCCGCTGTTTCCTCTGTCACCATGACACCTACCTGCTGGACAAGCCTTATCTCAGTGCTACTTAACATTAACCTGTGGAAAGAAAGGCAGTCATTTAAGCAAAGAAATGAAGTGAAGTTGCATGTGTAAAACAGTTTTAATGTTTATTTACATCATACATTTACTATCTAGTTTTTGTAAGTAATGTACAGTAATTGTTTTCCATTTAACTCATTTTACTCTAGAACCCTTTTCACAGATACCGAAATCTCCTGAAAAATTCCGGAGATTAGGCTACCTGGAGGGGCTGTAGGCTATACGTGAACGCAAACATCCAAATTTTTTGTGCAGACTTCCCCCGGAGTTTCTTCGGCCAGACCCCTAGTATTTTTTGAGCAGAAAATTTGAATGAGCTGATGTGAACGCGGCCGCATATTCTCCGGAGAATTCACCTCGAGCCAATAGAAAGAGAGTGATGTTTATATACAGTGACCGGCTAAATTGTCTGCACGCGACCTCTACGTACATAATTAAATGGCTGCATTATGTTTTCTGTTCGTCAGTATGTTGTTCTCCTCTCTTTTGTGGATGTTGTCATTCCATTGGATTACACATAGCATTGATATAAAGACAAATATTCTCATTATAACGTCGTGTAGTGGACTCTGTTGATTCGGCCGCTACTTCCGCGTTGTTTTTTACGTCACGTCTTACCTCAGGAAATATATAATTATATCTGTGAAATAACAGTGAGATGATGGACTTGGCTGTTTGTGACTCTTGTATGACTTTCTTATACTGGATCAAACTTACTCACCTGGGCTAGTGCAAAAAGTTGTCCACTCTGGCGAAGGAGCAAGAACCAGACCGGACTCGAGCCATGAGTTGAACACACTCTGTGGCCTGGCCAAGCGCCAACATCAGCGGAGGCTGCTTCGGCAGATTTTGAGACTCTGGAGCGGAAAACAGAATCGAGCAGGGGAACAACTAATGAATTAAATTGAAGTGATAGAAATGGAATAGATTAAATTGATGATAGACACCATTTATAAAAATGTTGTTCTTATCAAGGCTTGTCTTTATGGTCTCAAATGCTCTGCTATTTTTCTCAGTGATTTCTAAGAAATAACATTAAATAACCTATCAACTTAAATATATTTGTTGCTGTCGTAAATTCCTGTGTTTGGGAAATTTATATTTTAATCGGCTTTTGTAGCACTCTATGTAATATGAAGCCAAACTGATGGACTTATCACATCCATGTCTAATACTGTTAATGCCAAAAGGTGACTCAGGCAAGCTCTTCAAAAGAATATCAAATGTCATCCATTATCCACTGAAAAATAAATGTATGAATGGTTTGTATATATAAAGTAAAACTATGCGTGGACTCTATCTAGGGCTGAGCCAATGACAAGTGCGTACATCACAATGTATTTGTGATGTTTGAGTGAAATCACCACTGATGAGTAAGTGAGATTGTTTACACTTTCTTCCACAGGGCTGTTATATCTGTCACTGTAAAACAGGTGAAACTGTAGCATTAATACATCAGCGTAACACACAGAACATGTTTGCCCGTTACCCAGTATGGCGCTGTTGAGTGCGGAGCAGAGTGATTCTCTCTGTGTAGGATCTAACTGCTGGCCCACTGGGCAGTTCCATGGGTCTGAGTACGCTAGCAGGCTGAATGCATCCTACAGACAGACAGATACACAGAGGAGCAACATGATGAAAACACTGCAGTGCATACATTCAGCAGGTAAAAGGATGGATATATATGTACCAATCTACTATCTCAGAATGAACTTATACATCTGGAGAAATGATCAACAGATAGATAACAAGACATTATAATGTAAAAACTGACTTATTATTATATATATTATATCACTGGACAAGACCCATCCTAAACACTGGTGTCATTTGAATTTGTACGTATTGCTTTTATGATATACACTACAGTATCTCTGAAGCTGAGTCAGGCAACTAGACACCCATGATTACAAAACACCAAGAGTTACTGGTACTTTCTTGTGTGTACACTTAAATCAAATCTATCATTTGCCAAAAACATGACTCTGATGGGATGACGGTGTCGCTCTGTGTCTGCTGAATGCATGTGTGGGTATTAGCTTAATAGGTTAAAGTAATGTCGATGAGGGATTTGTTTCTGTCTCTTGGTGTGGAATCTTTCTGACCCCTGGTGGTTGAAATGACTAACTACAACAGAAGTAGAAACTGCTATGATTGTCACTTAATAATAAAACCTTGTTGGACATATTTTGGCCCGCTTGAAGGTTTTACTGTGATGCTAGCATTACAAATGTTAAAAGCTTTATACCAACAACTAGAGAAAAGCTCCTGAAAAGGACCTGTCCTTGTATGTACTTTGTAGTATCTATTGTTTTTTCAGAAACTGTATTGTTCTCAACGTGCCTGCTTATGAATCAAAGGATACAGACTACAGTGTGTGTTAACTTGAGCCTTTTAATGTGGACTAGAAGAATGTCCCACTTGATTGTGAAAAAAAACTTTTAAGTACATCTTTTTTTTAATCAAGCATCACTCACACTTCTGCAGCATGCAAAGAGTACGAAGACCAAGATTTTAATCAGTGACAACAGAAAAAAAAAAACATCTTCTGTCCATTTTTTGAGATCACTACAAATCTGTTGTAGTGCAGATGTTTGTTGAATCAAAAGTGTGTGAGCACCTGTAACATCTTCTTGTGTGTGGCGTTTTTTCCATACTCGCGGCAAAGCTGTTCGTTGAGCGCCTGCAGCTCTCGCCCAAACTGGATCATCCTCTCTGTGGCTGCCTGGTTCCCTCCACAAAGCTGTCTACCATTACTCCAGCCCTCCTCTGTCAGCAACAGGTGCACACATGCCAAAACAGTTACAACTGCACGGATACAATCCCAAAAGCTGAATGCAAAAAAAATAAAAATATGAAGAAATGCAAAAAAGGCAACAACAACAACAAACATAAAGATCAATCAGATTGAGGGAAGCATGTGTGCAGAAAGGAATACAAAGAAATACCTGACGATATGCTTTTAAAAGGAGCATGTTAAATTGAGATCTCTGAATGTGTGTGTGTGTGTGTGTGTGTGTGTGTGTGTGTGTGTGTGTGTGTGTGTGTGTGTGTGTGTGTGTGTGTGTGTGTGTGTGTGTGTGTGTGTGTGTGTGAGAGAGCACCTGTGACCCCATTGCCAATGCTGTTGTCATCCGGCTGAAGAATCTCTTCATGTTTGTATGTGCCGTTCATGATCCGTGCTGAGGAGCTCTCAACAACCCCATTGGTAAAGTGCTCTGCTTCAATCTCCATCTCACTGTCACTTCACCAATAGGTTCACAAATACGGGGACACAAAAGATAACACACAGAAGCGTTACACAGAGGTTCACAGATCAGATTCGATTGACAGTGGCAGCTTGCTTTAAAAAAATAATAATAATAACACTACTACTATCACAGGCACATCGAAAGATATGGTGTCAGCCAGTGAGGGCAGCGGGAGGAAAACAGCACAGACAGAAGTGTCTCATGTCAAATTTCCAAACTTGTTCAAACATCACTGTGGAATGTGCAAAATCCTAGTAAAATGTCAACTGAGAAAATTGGCTTTCAGGGCTTTGATAGAAAAAGATATCGATTCATCTAAGCAGAAAAAAACTTTGCAGACCTCAAAATCTGAACTGAGCGTGGCTTGATATTGTTCAATCAGACTTCCTTCCTTCCCAATAATGTTTAGCTTGCGGTGATTACATACTCTACATGTTTTTGGTAATGATTTACAGATGATAACTTATGTGGCACCTTTGAAAAAATAAAATTATACAACTTATCATGACTACAACATATGTCCATACCTCAAATTATTTGAAGTGAGTCCTTTCAAATCAGGTCTGATTCGGTTACTGATACCTTTAAACTTGTTCATTGTTTATTTGCCTTAGACTAACTCCATGATCAATGTCTGGCTTTATCTGCATGTAATGACACTGGCACGCCCTCCTACCTTGTTTCCTGGGTGCTGTTGGCACTGTGAGGCTGGCTCTTTGTGGAGTCAGATGAGTTGGACTCGGAGTAGTTGACAGAGGAAGGAGAGGAAGAGGTTGAGGAAGATGCAGAGGAGGAGATGCTAGGGTATTTGACGCTGCTGCTGCCAGGGCCACTGTGGCTCTTTGATTTGTTGGAGGGAGTCACCCCGTTACTGCAGGTCGGGCTGTCTGCTCCTGTGTGATGATTTGTGGGAGGGGGTTAGAAGGAAAAATATGTATATATAAATTGTCACAGTAGCTGGGTGTTAATGTTCCAGAAAAACAGTCAGTAGAAATGAGCTTGCTTAACCTCCGGTGTGCAGGTGTGTGATGCTGGTTCCGTGGCGAGGGCTGAGGCTGGGTGAGCCAGGGTAACTGTCCTGGGACTTTGGCGAGCGAATGGTCAAGCAGCAGACCTCACTGTCTGTACCGTTCACCATCTCCACAAACTGACGACACCTTTAAAGCAAAGCAAACCGTTAAAGGCTTAGCTGGTATCTACTTAAAAGTAAGATTTGAGGAGCACATATTTCTCATTAAACTCCACATTCACAGTAGTGTTAGGAAGGGGAAAACAGCATTTCTTAGCTTGAATGATAATATACTGTACCAGCATCTTGGTGCTGTATTTTATCATAATCTTTAATAAACACAGAGACTTACTTCAACATGAACAGTAGGTTGGGGTTGTGCTCTAACAGGCCGGGATAAAGCTGCTGAGTAGCTTCTATGGCTTCACCCACCCGTCCTGCCAGCACCAGCTTCTGTATTCCTATTAGAAAAAGTAACAGGGTGCTATTTTCATTGATCAAGAGGAGCCATGCTTTCTCAGCAAATATTTGATAGAGGCCAGTGTATCATTCATAGAGGTGAATGATCACTGACAACAAAACACACACATACTATTTTATTTTTTACATCTTGTTTTTCTTCTTTAATGATGGGATACATTACTTTTTCAAACACTGTAATAAACAACTCTCTACTACTATAGCTAGCTCTGCTAACTAGAAAGAACGCTGAATAGCAACTGTGGTGTCGCTGAAGAAGTGTTTATAAGTTTCCCATTTAAAGAGCAGGGATGTGTTTATGTGTTGTTTTTAATTAATATAGAGAAGTACGGCTATCAGAAGTTACAAATACATTTGATATAAAGGAAATTGTGTTAGAAATGCTCATCCTGCCTTTGAAATTATTTGATAATGTACTGGTATATCATATTTGAAATAGTAGTTTGTAGCTGGGTGATTCACTCACTTTGTCTGTTCTTTATAGATGTCTGGTCCTCTTGTATCATCGTCTCCGTGGCTCTGGCAAATGCTGTTGCAGTGGCACAGTACCCATGATGCACCAAGTAGCTGGACACCATACTTGAGAGAAAAATATGAAAACACTGTTTAATAGTTGAATAACTTAATTTCTCTGGTAATTGAATCCACACCACTGATAGACCAAATCATACAAAGTATTTGTCTGTGCTACTTTTTGTAAACAGGGCAGAGATGACACCGAGTGACATCAATCGTCTGCCATTTTAAGCATCTCAATACTTGTCCCTTAAAATTGATCACTTCTTGTGCTTCCTAACATGAGAAAACTTAGTTTACACATTTATGGGCTGTGAGAGACACACACAAAAAGAGACCTTATTAATTCAGTAAGGGATGATCCAGTACAGGGACAAGGGAAAAGGCTGGAGTTGCTGCTTCATCATATATTTTCATAATGCAGCACAGTGAGGTTACTACGGAGCACCTGAAGTCCCAAAAAGAAATAAAGAAAATATCTTGTGCGCACAACAGTTGGACTTCCCACAATTTGATTAACGTTTTGGGACTTAATGGGCGCCATAGGTTATTTATTAATTTTAGCCTGATTTTTTTTATTTTATTGTTTCTTCATCTGTACTGTAGTTCATAAACCTCTGGTTCTCAACTGGTCTAGCCTCAGGACACACCAACAACAAAAAGATGGAGAGAATTTGGATATTGGAATTTGGAGAGAATTTACAAGCACCACAGCAATTCAAGATCAGAAAACAAGGCTGTTTCTAATGATGATTCAGTTTTGAAAGCATCATGCTTCTCTGCACACAACACACTGAGGTTGTTCTTTTGTTTTCCTCAATGTAAGAAAACAAATGCTAAAAGAGAAATAGGAAAGAGAGGGTCACTTTGTAATGTCAATACAAGAGGGGGAGAACTTAAATGATAAACAGTGGAAGTCTACTAACTCATTGTCTTGGAGACAGATTAATTGGAAAAACATTGCAAGATTTTTTTTATAACACCAGCACTAAAGCATACAGGTCAGACTGTATGGAGAGGATGTGGGGTAGCAAGAGCAAACCATCATCATGTCTCCTGGGATCGCTCTGTGATTCAAAACTACTGGAAAGCTGTCAGAAATAGCATGGAAAAGGTTTTATGCTTTAAAAACTTAATATCTGGGAAACTTCTTTGCTCTTCCAAAGCTTTCCTGTACTAGAAGTCTGGTTTAATGTAATGAATGACATTTTTATAATGGAAAAATTTACATTTATTAATTATTAATTTACAAGAGTGATGTATTTGATGAAAGTTGGAAAAGATGGATTGAGTTTATAAAAAGGATTTCAGGTAAAGAGCTGAAGTTGTATCGTAATTCCCCTGGTTCTGTGCTACACACAGATTGTTGTGCTTTTATGTTTGCAGTATGTTTGTTTTTATTTTTCTGTTTTTTGTCTTATCTTTTTTTTTTTTCAAGTTAGAGACAAACTGGTGTACACCATTTTTAAATATACATGGTGTCATATTTGCATTTCACCATGCTCTCTGGCAGATCAATAGGTGCATTACTGCCACCTACTGAGTATGAATAAACAACCCTACTACACAGCTTCCTTAAAATAAAATCAGAGCATAGATTTTTTGCCACGACTTTTTTTTTAGGTTAATACCAGATGTAGAAAGGGGCCATAGAGAGATTTGTGTGTGAATGTTTTCAGAGTTGTAAAAACTGAACCTTACTTCTGCAGGACGGCCTGCCACTCCCCCAGCCTCTCTCCTATAGGATAGCGAGCAATCATGCCGTGGATCTTGGCCCTCCATTCACTCATATAGTCCTCGATGTCAAACACAAACGGCTGCTGACCAAAGTTAGCATCCACGATCTCACCCGGGGTTTGTAACCCCACTGTGGGATACAGATTGGGCTGGAAGATATTAACGATAAAAAGTAATTCAGGTTAGTTTTTGCATTGTTTTGAAATGCAACATCAACAGGCATATACATTAAGATGTGTGTTAGACAATATATTTCATTATCAGAGCTGCATAATCTTTAGACGATTTGTGATAATAATTGGTTTGTGATGGAAGAAGGCTTGTTTGTGTACCCACAACATAACAAACTGGCCAAACTGTGGCCTTTTTTATGACTGTTTCGTGTTGTTTTTAAAGGTTTTGGTTTTGAAAATCTTGATGTTAAGAGCTTGTTAAGTTCTGGTTATGAAAAGTCTTGCTTTAAAAAAAAAAAAAAAAAGGCCGGACGTTGGCGTAAAATGTTCTGTTGCTTTAACTGAACTAAGATCATTGGATTCAATTGGACTTTTGGAAAATGCAAAGAAGAACAACGAAAGACAAAACTAACACAAACACCTAGTTAGATGATCCTTTGCTTTGACAGAGGTTGATCACTCCTTCAGTTCTGTTCTTAAAACCTATTTGGCTGGATAAAACGGATAAAGTGGTTGTTTTTTTTCCGTAGGGAATGTTCCAGTGAATTGTGCCCACTGGACAATAAAAGGACATATTCCAACCAATCTGCCAACATAAGCTGCAATTAGATTTGGTTCTGCAAGGTCAATATTTTATTAAATGTAATTTCATAGTTTTTCAGCCACTACAGCTACAAGAATGGAATGATAGGGTCATATTGGTTATGTTTTAAATATAAGCTGCGGTTAAGAAAAAAAAAAAAAAAACTGTGTTCCAAGTGTTATTCATCCATTCACTGTACATCTTCCTTAAAAACTACCGTAGATACAGCTGAGAGTGTTTTTAAAAGAAGCATGATAGTACTGAATAAAAAAAAAACAACTCAATGATGGCGGTAAATTAAATGTCCATAATATGTCCATGAGAATAGAGAGAATATTAAGTTAAATTACATAATAAATCACAGGCAGTGTTGGTTTGCATATCATGAAAACTGTGCAGCACTTATTTAAAGCACACACAATGATACTTACAGGGAGGTCTGTGAAAGCAACACCTGAGGGATGAAATGAAAAACAATTTCAGTACAGCATGAGGATTTCAAGTTACAAAATAAAAGTATTGGTTACTATATCACACAATAATATCATAACATACTGTAATACAATAATAATAAAATACAATACATAAAATGTTCACCGACCCAAACTGATTCCATTTTTGGTGTAAAAGCAAGTGTTGTTGATGAGGTTAACGCAGCAGCCAATGACATCCCCCGTGGTGAATGTTGGGCCGTACGGTTGGCCGGTCCCAGAGGAGCAGAAGGAGTGGCCGTCATCTCCGTGGTAACCGTATGAGTGCTTGTCCCATCCTAAAACAAGGATGAGATGAAGTTGTAACTTGATACAAGATCTTTGTGCTACATTTGTTGTGTATCCATTAACCCACAGAAAAAGGTGTGTGTGCTGTTTTATAGAACCATTGGGGCTATTTGAAGTTGAACTTGCCATAGGTCACTCTAAAAAAACAGAAGTGATTGTTGAAGGAGGGGAGACGGTTACTCATAAACTTCTGCTGCTCAGATTTTCCCATCTGACAACCACCGCCTGCAGGGTGTCGCATGAAAACACACTCACACTTTCTGACTTTAGCAAGTGATGCAGTGCTATGGACGACCAGGAGGGGGATCTCACCAAACTAAGGAAACTGGTGAGTCACTGCAAACAGGAATAGCAGCACAAGAGGCTAAACCAGGAGACTACAGGGGGGGGGGGCATAATTTGCTTATTCTTTTTCCTGATTTCTTGTTCCTTCAGGTGCTGATGCATGTGCTACTGAAACAGCCAGACCTATTTGCCCACTACAGCTGTAGAGTAAAAAACTTGTTTTTTACTAGTAAAGACATTTTGTAATGATTTATTTCACAAGTCTATTTCCTTATCATTACCCACAATGTCTTCTTGAGAAACCTTTGTAATTCAAGCCTTTGTTATAAGTAATATGAGCTTTTCCTACTGGGACTTATACAGTTGTTTACAAGTAGAATGTCTTACTGTTCCTTCTGATTTGTTTATCTAAGTTAGCTATGGCTAACCACCTCACTGCTGAAGCTTACATAACGTGATATACAATTTTGGTTTTCGAAACAATTCAAACTGAACATTCTCTGAAAACCATGTTGTGTTTTTATTTTATGTGTGTGTGCTAAATTATGTATTTCTTTACAGCATGAACAGAGAAATAAAACATCAAATAAAAAGAGAGCCAAGCTTTGTGCATAGTAGATACCACAAGCAAAAGGTGCTAGTTATCAATACATGAAGATGCAGTATACATGTAGCCAATCCATAATCAGACCTGAGACAACCTCAGTCTACACAGTATGTGTATACTATAAGTACAGACACTTTAAGCATCTTAACAGAGTCATATACGTCCAGTGTTTTGCAAGACAAATATACTGCCCCCAACATTTATCTGACCAGAGAAAACATGTTCACCTCAGTTACTTTGTAAATCAAATTTGACAAAGGTTAAGATTCACTGGACCAAAGTGACTGAGTCAATGTTTTTCATGATGTTAAATTGGTATATTTGATACACTTTTTAAAGTGCATTTCTGACTACACAAACACTTCCCTATACCTGTCAGTGAGTCAATTCACACATACATTCTGTTAATGTGGAGGCAGAGTTTCTAGCACGAGGACACTTAGGATAGAACCAATGATCAGTCCTAGAGTGGACACTAACATCTGAGCCTCAGCTGCGCTAAGGCAAGGCAACAAAGCAGGATTCTGCCGTCTTCAGGATGATTCCTCTACACAGCAAGATCAAAAAGAAACAACTTTGTTCACAGACCTTAGAGGCTTACTTTTAGGTAGTTGGAGGACAATCTTTTTATGCCTTAGGTTGAATTCTTCTATAGTTTTGCAGCAATTGACTGAGCTGAAAGGGACCTGAACCTGAAAGCATTGAGCTCAATCAGTGTCTCTTCAATCACAGCTTGTCTGTTGTTGCCAAAAAGCAAAGCGGGGTTAGTGAAAGTAGGTCGTCAGTGAGCTGACATATTAGATGCGTACTTGAATATGTGTCTCTGTGAGCATGTAATAAAGTATTAAACTTTAGCAAAATGGTGTTTGTTTTCCTCTTAATTTCATGTGTATTTGAGTTTTTCTTTTAACTTGACCTAATACTGTTTCGTCTCTCCACGTTTTCCTATGAGTATGTATATAGCCCTGTGTGTGTAGTGTGTCTCTGTGTGTGTGTTTGTGGTGAGGTATTAGATTAATCTGCTGACAGGGATATTGCCTCTAAAGCCAGGCTCGCTGCTCCAACATGCTAATGAAATGGGCAGGCCTCCACAGCGGGATCAGACACAGAGGTCAGCAGTGGACAATATACTATTACAGCAACATAACGGTAGAATTTGCAGATGAAGGCCCATATGCAATGCACTCGCTCTCTCTCTCTCTCTCTCTCAACTTGACGTTGACAAAGAGACAGTTTAGTCCAAAGCCGTTTCACATAATGCACTCCGCAAACTTTCAAGGAAAATCTTCCTAAATTGGTTGTTCACGCAAGTCCCTGACAGTGGGAGACTATCTCCGTCAGACGGGACGGGAGGGGGTCCCAAGAGGAAAGACATGATAGAAAATTAACTACATGGAAGTGTCTGACGAACCAACACAGTCTTATGCTGTGATGATAGTTTTTCTGCTTCAACACTACGTGTAGTTCAACATATTCAGAATATCAACTAAAGAGCAGGTAAGAACATACTGGCACAGTCTATGGTTGTGACCTGGTCACAGGAAATAAAGGTCATCACCCCCTCTCACTTGCTGGTGGTGAATTTTCCTGAATATTTCCTGCTGCGTTCTCACACCGGCTCACCAATTAACTGAGACAGTAAGAGTTCTTGGTAAAGTTGGAGTGAACAATACATGAAGTTCACACATGAAGCTCATCCAGACAATTTCAGAAAGTTTTCAGGAGTTCTGTGCACGTGTGAAAGCACAACAATAAGTCTTGTCTAGACTCCTGCTTGGTCACTCTATTTTACCTTCTCTGTTAAAAACCTCTTCAGTCTCTACTACTGGGAACACGAGGTGTGTGTCTTAAGGACAGTGCCATACTGCTACAGGACAGAGAGAACAGAACAGGTCACCATAATGTACATAGTGCAAAAGAGGATGTTGACCAAATTGAGATGGCTGAAACACCAGACCAGAAAACATGGACAAACCAATGGGTGACATTCAGTAAATATGTCCACTACTTCAAAATCATGCCACAGCACAGCTTCATAACTTCCCTAACTTGAGTATGACTGTGCAAAATATTGTCCTACGCTCAAAAGGTTCATTTGGAAACATTGTACAAAGCATTTTACGTAGTCTCCTTGCCAAAGTTTTTTAGACCATGGGTTTCATGGAAATACTTTCCTTTAACTGGTAACTCCCTTATACATCTTTTACCTTCACTACACCACAGGCAGAATGAAATATAGTTGCAGTGTTAGTGCGTCAATTCAACTTCTAAATAAATTCTGCTGCAAGCTGTTTTCCTTGATAAGGGCATGAAAGAAAACTGAAAGTGAGGTATTGTTTGGATAACTTTATATACTTAGTTATTTTGGTCAGTACCTTCCATGGTATTTCATACCAATATTACATATCAATAGAAACAAGCCTACTATTGGTATGTTAGGAGTTATCACAGTTTTATGTGCTGCTTGACTGGCATAGTGTCCTTACTTTAGAACATGGGACATAAAATGCTTTTCAATTAAATCAGCCAAAGGAAAACCCTTTTGATGACTTTCTACAAGTTGTTTATTAAGCGTTTTTAAATGAAAATTCAACGGCATCCTTAGCTTAAGAGGTCTTATGCAACCAGGTATACGTCCAGATGGACAGAATGAGTTCACAAACCCACAGATACACAGGCCAGAGGAGAGAAACACAAACAAGTACACTAAGAGAGACGCAATCAGTCAGTCCAGGACACACACAGATAAATCCATGGAGTTCGGGACAAACGCACACTGGCACACAAATACACTGAGTCAGTCAGAGTTAAGGCAATCAACAGTAATCCGTCTACCAGGGCCATAGACCATCTGTAGTGCGAACCTAGCAACCATAATATTTTCATAGCTAATGTGTGAACGGTTTGGAAAACACATTCATTCCATGCTCTTCCACTCTTTGTGTGACATTCGACACATGTGAATCAAGAAGCAGGGAGAATGAATGATCTTTGTGTATGTATCTGTGAGAGTGTGTGAGTGTGTACTGAACTACAGGCTGCTGAATTTGCTGCCTGGTGTCCACAGCATTCCACAAACCTCTGCCACAGGACAGATCTTGACTAGTCAATAAGCAGGTCAGATGGCCCCAGACAGGGCTGGAGCCCCAGGCAGAGCGTGGTAGTGGTCTGATTGGTTGGCAATGGGCTGTATTCAGTCTCTAGGCTGCTATATGGCTACTCCACTTCCTCTTACGTCATGAGAGATTTCTGAACCATTAGTGAATGACATTGTTTGTGTGTTTTTATAGGTCTATGTGTGTGTTTTCTGAGTGTATCAGGATACATAGACAGGGGGTTGAGGGCACTGAAAAATATACAGCCATAACTCAAAAATAAAGAATACTTCTAGTAGAGAAGTTGAAGAGCACAAAGAAAATCGGCAAAGATCTTCCTCTTTCAACATTATTGAAAATCCAAATGAATGGCAAAAAAATAACACAATGTATGTCAATTACATTTTGTTTGACCTTACAGAAAGTGATGGAACAGCAAAACACTTTTGTTTTTCGTTTAAGTAGACAAATGCTCGCATTGACTATATCAATCTTGTTTTCTTATTCATTGATCTTTGTTGCAGCACATTTGTTGACGCGGCGACTGAATCCAATTTAATTTCTTCTAGTGAACAAAGTCACCAAACAAGGAGACAGCTGCTCTCTGGTAGAAATAAAGTTTGATCCAGGCTGTTATTTAGTCTTTTCTTAAATCATACTTGGTGCCATTGTCTTGTTTTGAGCTGGAAAAACTCTGCAGTACTCTTTAAGTTTAAGTAGAGTGTATTCACCAAAGTCAGTTCACACATGGCGATGATTTCTAAGCTTCCTGTAAAGTCATATGTTTATTGTAGATCAGAGCAGGGTTACTTGCTATTGCAGTGAATATATTGTGATTAAAAAAAACAATGTATACCTCCCTTTATCTCTGCTACACTTGGTTAAGTCCACAGCCTTTAACCCTGATTCTGAAGAGACATGAAGTACGTAACACAACATGTATGGTAAAATGGATTGTATAACACGTTCTGAGCTTCGGACTGTACAAAGCACTTTTAGAATTTATGTCACAATCACAAATTCACACACAGTCTCACACACACATAGGCATGCAACTCCACCGAGTATAGTACGTATTAACAACTAACATAACCAAGTAGTTTGGGTGACTTAACCCAACCACACTGAAACAGCTAAGAACACGTTACATTTTCACTTGAATAATATTTTGTGTGTGTGTGTGTGTGTGTGTGTGTGTGTTGTGTGTGTGTGTGTTGTGTTTGCGATGTACTGCTCTATGTCATTGTGTTATGTTTGTTACAGTTTAGATTTTCCATGCAATGTTTTTATTATGACATGCCAAGGGAATGTAGATGTGAATTCGCTTTAAGCTGATTCTGGTAAAATGCATCAAATGGCAACATGTTTAATATTGTTCCCCGTCCCTTTACAAATAAGTTAAAATAAATTCAATCTGTTTGAAGGTCTTTATTGAATTACAAAAAGGGTTTTGTCCATCCCATCATGCACTTAAAATTCTCATTGTTTCTGTGGTGCAGCCAAGGATGCTATTTTAAGAAATTGCACATGATTTGTTGTTTGGAGGTCGAGTTAATGTCACACAATTCTGTGAGATCAGATTGGTCATACATCTTTTGCCAGTGCAGCCATGAACAATCCACAGTGTTTAATTAAACTGCAGAGCTCACCAGCACCAGGACTAGCTGCAGTGGAAAGTTAATACAACTTCTGAACTTCGGCAGAACAAACAGCAAGTCTGCCTCTTGCATCCATGAGGTAATATTAATCTAAAAAGCTGCACTGTTACAGATTTACAACGAGATGATAAGAAGACCGATATAGTAGAAGTGTGCCATATGCTCTGGCAAAGGGAAGAACTTGTACAATAAGACTGACTTTTCTTGTTACAAGTCTTGCTTTTGTATCTTTCTTCAGGTTATTTTGCCTGACTTGAAAGGTCTTTAATGTTGCTATTGAACATGCTCCCATATCAATATTAATGTTGAAACAAAAATCTTCTCTAACGAGAGACCGTGGACATCCAAAAACACTTTCTGTTGCACGTTACAAGCCATTCAGCTGATGTACAGCAAGTGGCTTTAACACTCTCACACACATAATAGCAAAGCAAAGCCAAACAGGGGAGAAAAAGATGGGTAGTAGCAGTTTTTAACAGTACACAATAGATACAGTCGGCTTCGTGTCATAGTTGGGACGGGGTGTCCCGTGGATTCCTTTCCCCCAGCCACCAATAATGCAAACGCACAGATTTTAAACTCCGATGCTAGCGATTACAAGCTGTAATGTCCCATATTGATTGTGTAAATTGACAAAGAAAGATATATTAACACATTGAACAGAATAGGATGGAATTGTTGTCTGATACGTTTTAAAAGACGAGACGGATGATCCAACTAAACGGCCCGAAATGTCGTTTACAGATACCTTTACTAGTTGAATCACCCGTTAAGAGACCAAATCACATTTGTTATAGATATGATGAATTACACTTAACATACTATTAGTATCCCGGTACCAGCCAACCATTAGCACTAATACGATTGCATATTTTAGTTAAATCCATTCAACTGCTTATTATTACTATTATTCAAATGTATGTTCATTAACTGTTGAAATACGCATTGCGAAGAAAGCTCATGTTGCAAAACATGGGATGTATTTCATTTTCACTTTCAGTTCACTTTTTAGATGATAGGGGCTAAAATATCTGAATTTTTTATGCAGTGATTTTGTACGGTGGCCCAGAAGTGCAAAACACAACGACAGCAAATCAGAAAACACTACTGTGTGGTTGTCTTATTATTAGCTGTTTTTGTATTCGGTTCTGGTATTGTTCTTTTCAACTATTTTATGTTAATTCATTTTACTCCAAACAATAGTCACATTGCAGACAAGACAGTACCAGCAGCAGTAACATACATCTTTAACACATCTTACAACAGTGCCGTACTGACATTCACAGTCAAGTTACACTAGTAGGTCCTAATGCCGCAAGTCAACATCCACTGCATCATACTGCTCTGACATGCCCTGACATGTTCTTCTTCCAGCCATCAGTGTTTAAACTGAATCCACAAACCACATCCAATTACTATAGGAACGCCACATATCCTCATCTCCTCCTGTTTTAATCCTTCAAGTCTCATAAATGCTTGCATTTCTCAGGCTACTCTCACTTATCCACAAATTGAATTTAAAAAATTGTCAATTAATCTGCATTCATATGTTCCCTCTACTAACTCCACATGAGGAGTCTCTCACAGTACTGCTGCACCAAAAACACATCCACGGACTGAATGAAAACAAGAGCTCAAAAATGTTTCCTTTTCCAGAGTTTACACTATTGAAAGAGATACACCCCCATTGTTGTTTATAAAGACTCAAATAAACCAGCTACACAGCAATGTCAATGCATTTTTGTAATCCAAGTCAGAGGGGTGGAACTATGGACCAAAAAGTCATTAGTGAAGTTCACAGTCAAGGTTTTGGCTAGCCACTACAAACCTGCTTAATTGCCCTTCACAGACTGTCCTTTGTGTAAACAAACATAAACAAAAGAAGCGAGCACTGAGAGAACTGTTTTTTGTCTTTGTATGCCAAAAGCACTGGTCTAATTCATGCCCAGCATGCCAGTGTTATTGCTTGATATTGCTCTGATTATATACATGCAATACACTGTTGAGTAACCTTGGAAATCCTTCATTTACCCCATCTGGATGACACACCAACCACCAGGCAACCGGTGACCCAGACTCCATCCTTTTGTTCTACAATCTCTCATCAATTTTTTTTTTTAGATCCAGCCACCCTTTGGAACGAGTCATTTTAACACGATAACAAATGTCTATATGTCCATTTTTCCAACTCCCTGTGTTTAAGTCATGGCCATATTATCATGTACTCACCAGGCAGTCTGTTCATGTTGACTCCCTGGGCCGACAGGCCGATGCCCATGTACCTGCAAAAAGAGAAAAAATACATTTTATGATATAGCATTTATCAAAATGTTCAACTCCTAATTGGTACTTTCTCGGGTTACCTTTCAAAATATCAATTTAAACTCATGATTTTATTCTGATATGTATCAGGAAGAGTAGACTTTGAATAAACATCTCTTCTTTGATCTTCTTTTACCAAATGGTATGCCTCCAAAGGAAAGACATAACATTAAAAGTGACTGTAAGAGTGGAGGCTTATAGGGGTCAGTAGTGACATCATAAGTCTGTCACACAGGATGAATGCTTGACCTGCATCCTTTCCATGTAAGCAAGCTTATAAAAGCCTAGCGAAAATAACTTTCTGCCCGATTTTCAGAGTCATCAATTCTAACCGTTGAATGCATCTGGCATAGTCTTAGCTCACTTTGGCACTTGCTGATGTCATCACAAAAATCACAGCCCACAAAGAGTCTTTCACAAGTTTCCTACTTTCCCCTCAATGACCTTACGGATGTGAGAGAAGGAAGGACACTGGTGTTAGTCAAATAAATGTGATGTGGGTAAGTTGCCAAATAAGTTAAAGTTAAACAAAAAACACAATACAGAGCAACAAGAAGAAGTCACTAATGTTGTTTTGGCAATTGCGAATCAAGGTTAGTTTTCATTATGATGTGAGCCATTATCAAATAAAAACACATCTATAGCCACGTGAACAAATGTATTTGGGCTATATTCAGGCACAGCAGTGCATGAAGTTAAAAAATGAATGACAGCAGAAACAGTTACTTTTAATCTTTACCTGCTCTTTTGTAAGACAATAAAACAAAGAGTAAGGTCTTTCACCTGCTGTTTTGGAAAGTGTCATAAGTTAACATTTGTTATGAATTTGTGCTCCACAAATAAAGATTGATTCAGACTGATTAATTGATAATAGTCAAGTGCACACTGGCATGTCATTATAGTGGAATGGTATAGCATTACAAGGTCTGTGAGAAAAAATCAATTCACATCAGAATTGAAATTTCTACAATTCTGAATTGATTAAAAAAAATAATACATTTTAAAAAACCTACTTTCTTTCGGCTTAAGTTTATTTTCACCTGCAGCCAGTTTGAGCATGGTAAACCTGCTACTGTTACTTTTTCTGTGCTCCCTTTCCACCTTCCTACGTACACCATTGCTGCAGGTGGTTATTGGCCCTTGCTCGTTTGCTGTGCTGCTAACATAAGCTTGCTCTCAACATCCATAATGTAAGGTTGTGTCTGATATACTGAGAAAATGAATGTTCTGTCTTTGAAGCAGTAAGACATTCAGCCAGTCCCGTCTGCATTGAAGGCAAGCGTTGTGTCAAACTTTGAATTCTGCAATCTCCCTGGTAAGTGGAAGCTTGACTCAACCTATACAATATGCAAGATCTGCAAAAATGAAAGGCTGTGGCACAATTGATAGAGTCGGTCTTCAATCAACCCCATTGTTCGGAGTTCGATCCTCAGCTCCTGCAGCCACATGTCCGATGTGTCCTTGAGCAAAACACTTGCTCCCGCTGCTTTGTCAGCGGCGTATGAATGTGAACGGGATTAGTTACTTCTTATGGTCACTTTACAAAGGAACCACTGCCATCAGTGTGTGAATGTGTAGGTGTGACAAGTGTAAAATCGCTTTGAGTAGTCAGAAGACTAGAAAAGCGCTTTTTCAAGCTCAAGTCCATTTACCAAAGTGAAGTACTTTGGGAAACTGAGCTCACATTATATGCCACCACCCGGAGTTGAAATAAGTGGAACAATGGTCAAGAAACTGCTGACCAATGCACACTGCACCACTTTACTGATCTGCCAGCCAATTCTAAACGGACAATAAAAGTAACAATATCCATTGTCTGTTTCATTTAAAAAGACCTGCGCCCTGACAGCGTCGTCAACAATGAAGCCTTTAGATTTATGATCAGGCCTTTACTGGCAAGTTTCTGATTATTACAGTTACCTGGCTTAAGCCCATAAAATGTAATTCATATTTAAGTATTTAGCAGGTGGAGCGTAAATAAAATTTATATTTGTTGTAGGTTTGTGTAAAGTGTATTTACATTACTGTAATCATGGCCAGAAAGACAAAAACAAAAGGACAAATATAAAAGTTAAAAACCTAGGGTTTGAATGCTGCATTATCCTGAAAACAATGAATTGTGCTTTTAAAGAGCCCATATTATGCCCTTTTTGGGGTTCGTATATTTAATCTATGTACCTACTTTTGTATGTTCACAATAGATAAAGTCTGAAAAAAGTGTCTGTTCTCCCTCTACGCTCTGAGTCTGTCAGCTACACTCTGTTGAGCCCACACTGTTAGACCCCACGTGGGCCAAGTCTGCTCTGATTGGTCTGCTGATCCGCTCTGTCGTTATTGGTCAGTTGCTCAGCATGCTACTCGTAAATTTCAACATGAGCTGCAGGGCTTGCCACAACGAGCCAATGGACTTAGATCAGTGACCTCACACTGACAATGACGCCGCACTGACAAATTTTTATTGAGGGGGCCTAGAACCGAGCGTTACATGCGGCTAATGCTACAGCTAACAGGAGGACGTAGGAGAAGCCGCGTTTCCGTGGACTTTGAATTTTTGCACATAAATGTGCCTAAACATGCACAGGACACTTGGAAAACACACTAAAGAGCATATAAAACCAGAAAAAGCATAATATGGGACCTTTAATGTCAAATAATAGTTTGCAATCAAAGGGAATTATGAGATGCATTACCCTGTGGTACTTTTATCTTGATTGTTAAAAAAACAAATATCCATCTTTACTAGTTTTTAAATTTTCATGTAGCAACAAAAATGTTATTCCTTATGTTATCATATCCCACTGTGTATAAACTGAAGCAGATCTCCCAACACAGTCAGGTGTTGCAAGTTGCAACACAAGCAGCTTAGGGCACACTAACACAAGGTAATCTGTACTATGGCCAAGAAAGTTTGACCCCCATTGTACAGTTTGTTTGACCTTCAGCACAGTACAGTTGCTCATGCATGAGCACAAGCATGGGTACACAACATTTTTTGGGGTGGTAGTAGCTCAGTCTGTAGGGACTTGGGTTGGGAATCGGAGGGTCGCCGGTTTAAGTGCCGGTGTGGACCCTAATATGGAAGTTGTTCTTATAGCTGGAGAGGTGCCAGGGCACTACCCAAGTTCTGCCGAGGTGCCCTTGAGCAAGGCACCGAACCCCCAACCGCTCTGGTGTGCTCCCTGTGTAGCAGCCCCACTCTGACATCTCTCCACTAATGCATGTCCACAGGTCCTGTTGGTGAATGTGTGTGAGAAGCACATCTCTCAATAACAGAGTGTAAAACCAGAATTTCTCTCAGGGATTAATAAAGTTTATAAACTAAAAATAAAATTAAAAAAAGGACATGAATGCCGCCTTGAATGATCGTAAAAAGCAGGAGTGCTAAGGGGTCCATATCTGACCCAAACGACTCAAAATAAGCCACAATTCAGTAAAGTTTCAGTCACGTTCTCCATTGTGCTGACTCCAAGAACACGCTTCTTGTAAACTAAAGGGCGCTTCATGATCATGTAAAGCCATACATGTGCATTAAGACTTGATGACATATGTTCAAGAGATATCTTTTGAGCTTTGAGAACTTTAAGCTTTTTTCAAATTTGTATTTTTTGTATAAAATTCTAAATGGTTTGGCACCACCTTCAGCTCAGAGGAGTCCATAAAATCGACATGAATATCTTCGACAAGAGATTGTTTTGTATCCTTCCGTCACACTGCCTTTGGGCAGTAAGCTTTCTGTGTGAAAGCAACAACTCAGTGAAAGGCTCTATCAGACGGCAGCTTTAAAAACAAACTGAAATATCTGCTGAAAGACGTTCAATTCTGTAACCACTGATCTTTTATAACTGCACTTCAGCATTTAACTCGAATAATATATTTAAAATATATTTTTTGTCTCATGACAACTCAAAAGTAGGCAAGCAGGAAATATGTAGGTATTTGTTACTCGTAACGCCAGCAGACAGTACCACAGGACCCATGTAATAAGTGTCGAACAAAGTTGTTTCTGCTTACCCATCCCGGCCTTTGCTGACAATCTTGACTTCAAAGTAGTAGATCCCACAGGCAGCGGGGATTGGGTGTGTGGCTCGCACTGATGCTGCATCTTTGTGGTTCTTTCCATGGCCTGCAAGTGGAGAAACACGTGGTCTACATGAATAATATGCTAAAATGATTTTAAGAAGGGAGCAAAGTCTTTTGTAAAAATTAGAAAAATCTGGATTGCTTTGGCTTTCAACAGATGAAAAAATCCAGCAAGGTGCTCAACTGCAGACAATAATTTGCTCTCCATTACTCGTTGGGTTTTAGTCTACGTTTCTAAACTGTATGTGTACACAATACTCTCTCATCTGAGAGTGGCAACAATTCGTCAAACCATTTAGGTTTGGTCAGACTGATCCATTACAGGAAGAGCTGTGAAAACACAGTCTGACAGCTGACCAAAGCCTGACTGGCTTCAGCTAAAGCATTTCGCTGGTGGGGAGTCACTTATCAGTCATGTGACAATGTCACGTCAGGGCAAGTTCTTCTCTGGTTTCATGAGCTTTCCCTTTTTAAATCCTATGTGTATCCAAGGCCGTGATTGATTAACAAGTTTCCCTTTGTCTTGAGTGTCTAATCAGCCCACATATCACAAAATCTAGCATATGGTCTTGCATCGATAGCCTGTTTGCCTACAACAAAACCATACTTTTTAAAGGTGACCTTTTCTATAAGGATAATCTGTCTCAGTGTGTGTGGACCAATTATGCAATTCCTCAGTTCATGGGAGAACGAGGTGTGTTGTACAACAGTTCTACAGTAAACATGTTCATCTTTTTCTTTGACATTGAATCACACCATTGACCAAGTTCACCTGTCGTGATCAAGTCACTGAGGCTGTGTGTGTGTGTGTGTGTGTGTGTGTGTGTGTGTGTGCACGCGCATGTGCATGTATGAAATGTAGAAAGGCTGTAACCTTAAACGAAGCAGCTGGCTGTCAGCAGACACCTTGAGGCTGTTGCTATGTGCATGACATAGACAGACAAAGCATGGAACTCCAGCTACTCACATACAACAGGGAACACACAGGTTATGTAGCAATGACCAAAAATGCAAATGGCTGAAAACCGACTCTAGTGCTTGTTTTGTTTTTCATAGTTCCATACTTATGTATGCTTGTGATTTTATTGTTCTCAGATAAATAGGCCTCCATGTGTATGATAGAAAGCACAAGTGCAATAAATACATCTATATGCCAGGTTTGTAATTAACCATGTAGGGGTAAAAGGGCTTGGAATAACCCAAAAGAATATGTCATGCAATTAGTATTGTAAGTAGGATTTTTCCAAAACAATCAACAGCAACAATCCTACAACTCAACATATCAACTTTGACCCCTATGCATGTAATAGCATGTTTATCCATGTACACATCACGCCTATGCAAGTGTGTGTTTTTCTTTTTGTGGCTGTCTTGTCTAATAGTTGCAGCAACATTCACAATGTCTATTTATAGCTTCTTCATGTGAAAACGTGCCATCAGTTGGCCATCAGGTCTCGTTACAGTTGCACATATGGGTAGAACAAATTACTATGCACCACTTTGTGGTATGGTAACATGCCTCAGGTGTTTTCGATATATATATATAAAATATATAAGCAACTATTAAGTCAGTGCTCTAAAGAAGTGTAATATATTAGAGCCCGACCAATTAATCGGCCAGGCAATAATATTGGCTGATATTAGCATATCAAGTGACTATCAGTATCCGCTACTTTTAGTGCAGATATGTGCCGATATTACTAAATTGATCGATACTTGGCCGCCATGAGACGATATAATATCGGCACACAAAATATCGCGATACTATACTGTATCGATTTTTTACCCCACCTCTAGTGCACATACAAGAGGGATGTACGGACAGGGGACCTTATCGCCCCCTCCCTCTCTCTGCTGATGTGATTCTGCACTCTTATCCCTTCACAGGAGTCGAGAAGGAATTATTATTATTATTATTTTTTTTTTAAACAGGAGCCACGAGGTCCTCGCGGATGTCCTCAAAGCACTCTCTCTCTCCCCGCTCCCTCTCTCGCTCTGTTTACGCAGCAATTTTATGGATAAATAAAAAATAAAATAAACACAGGTCGGAAATATACTTGGGCGGCTCGCCCAGGTATCGTCTATGTGTGGGAACCACTGCGTTTATTTAACAAGCCGGCCGCTGACCCTGACACGCGCACCCCCCACCTAACGTTTAAACGTTTTTGGGGCAACGTGTAAACATTTGGCAATTTGGTCAGTTATACACACCACTACTCTCATATATACATATATATACATATATATATATATATATATATATATATATCCCAACAAATTGAAGACAGATCTAAAAAACAGAACGATTTTTTCTTTCCTCAATATCGATATCGGACCCAAAAATCCAATATTGGTCAGGCGCTATTATACTATATATTGTATACTGAACATAAAAATGTAAACTTTTAAATTGTAAATGGACATGAGCTTGTTTGCACTTTTTTAGTCTTCTGACTATTAAAAGTGCTTTTACCCCGCAGATCAAACCAATTCACACGCATTCACACACCGATGGCAGAGGTGTGAAGTTTCCATCAGTATTAGCTAATCCCACTCAAACTATATTCATCACAGGCCACCGGCAAAGCAGCGGTAGCAACGGGGAAAGTGTCTTGCCGAAGGACATGTAGGTGCAGGAGCTGGGGATGAAACCCCCGAGGCCCTGACCTTCTAGTTGAGAGACGACGACTCTACCACTGAGCACAATTGTATTGAGAGAAATCTTTCCAAAGAAACAGGACCGGGAATGCAGCCAAATTGGGCATTAATAAACTTGCCTTTCTTTCCAATTAAAGCTAAACATCTGTGATGTCGGGCGCTGGTGGGGCAGTGGTTAGTGCGTGCGCCCCATGTATGGAGTCTATAGTCCTACAAGCAAGCGGCCACCAGGTTCAAATCCAGCCTGTGGCTCCTTTCCCATATGTTATTCCCCACTCTCTCTCTCTCCCTGATTTCCAACACTATCCACTGTCATATCTCTCCATTAAAAGGCACAAAAAGCCTCAAAATAAATCTTTAAAAAATACAAATAAAATAAAAATCTGTGATGTCATCACATGACAGAGTCAAAGCAAATCATTCCCATGGCTTACAAAGTAATAAATTGCCATTCATATCAAACAGTTTTGATTGTTCTTTTAACCGAGGTTTTTCACATAAATTAGTCCTCACATTTCAGAAGCAACTAATTTCTGCTTTAAAAAGAGATAGTGGACAATATGAGTTGTTACAAACTGAAAATACCCTTCAAACCCAATGAAGCATTCACACGGATATTTTTATTTGATTATCTTGTGGAGATGCACAGATGATTCAAATCAGGGCAGATAACAATGTTTAAAATAACAATTTAGCCAATTGCTGAAACCTATGGTTTTTTTTGTGTAAGACTCCAACAATGCCACCCTTTTCTCTAATGTTTGACCAAGAAAACTGATCAAAGTTTGTCCAACAGGTGATTTCCGCTATATAAAACCCTCCTCTACTCTGAATCAGCAGTTAGGTATACTAGATACCAGAATTTAATGAATATGACACATAAGGCTGTTGCGGTGGGTGATCCCGGGTGGCTTAATATGTGGTATAATCCACCCCTTTTATATTTATTTAGTTAATTTGTTTGTGAATCAAGGGTCATAAACTGGCATGCCAGCAGTAATAACTGGACCACAAGATTACTTTGATTGTGACTTTTACTTATTTTATTATTTTCTTAAAAACAACACCAAGCAGTGACAAAGACCAACACTCCCGCCACAGAATAGAGGAGTGCATTAGACAGTAGACAGCGCCTGGTGCTGAAACAAAGCCCTGTCACAGCAGCAACAGGTATTACCAGAATCAGCTCCTCTTTAGCCTTTTTATCTACAAAAAACACTAGACAGTTGTTTTTTCCCTGTACAGTACGATCTGGCTATAGAGAGAGAGAAGTGCAGATATGCTGCATGGACATTAAGAACTTCCAGACCTCACTGATTCTGACCAGTTGAGTTTTCATATTAATTATGTTCTATGCCTGTCATAATGTATTCTGTAGCCAAATCATATACAATACAGGTAAAAAAAACAACCTGGCATTCTCGTGGTTAAACCTGTTGCTGCTGTGATGGTGCTACATTCCAGCAAAAGGTGTTGTGCAGCGTCTGCTGCCCTGCTAATATGCACACTGTTTAATGGCGAGAATGTTTGTCTCCATCACGTATGTTATGGTGTTGTTGTTAAGAAAGTTATAAAATAAGTAAAAGTCACAATGAATAATCTTGCTGGTCAGATACTTTTTGCAAGGTGAGAGCTCAAATTCAGGGGTTATTGAGACAGCCTTGATGACAAAACAGATAAACATTGGCTACTGACATTGGCTAGTGCCACAATTTTTACCAATGGGCCAATGTCTGTCACCAAGGCCAGATTGGCGGATTGCATTAATGCATCTATTATCTTGTCAAACTTCTAACTTGCTTTTAGTATATTTTTACACCTATTAGGACAAGATCTTAGTTTTGAAATTACCTTTTTTTGGAGAAACTGTTTTCATTTCTTTTTTCTGAAGTGTTTTGCACGAAGCAATAAACCAAAGTAAACCAACAATTGTAAAAGATACCTGTGCTGTCCTTCTGAATGTCTGTCTTTGAGATCTTTGAGATTTGGAGTCTTGCTCAAAGACCAGTGGACAGGTGGAGTCTGGGATCAAGCAATAATTAATTGACATTATCTTGGGATGCAGTTTTAAACAAAATAGAGACCAACTTCATGTTGTTTTGATTTGCAGTGATGGTGGTTAAACAAAAGCAAATGGGGTTAAAAGTGTTTGGATCAGAAAAGGTTTGACAAAATATGGGATTTTGTCATTCAGAGAACAGATGGTTGGTTAACTGCAGTGTAACTTTATTTTTATTTTTTTACATGGATAAAGTAAAATGAACAACTTGAAAAGTCAACTTTTCGTTGGCATTGTTGATGTCAGCTAGTATAGAATATTAATGGAGGACTTTATACATAAGAGCCCAACCGATTAATTAATTAATTAGTATATCTGTAGTGGCTTATCGCAGATAAGCTAGATATATTACTAGATTTGTTCACCAGTCAAATAGGCAGCCAGTACCTCTGCCTCAACTGAACGTTGCATGAAGCTCATCAATCAGTCAATCAATTTTATTTGTATAGCGTCAACTCATAACAAGTGTTATCTCGAGACACTTTACAAAAAGCAGATAAAATACCTTACTCTTTGTATGTTGACATTACAAAAGAGCAGGTAAAAAGACCTTACTCATTGTTATTTTACAAAAAGCAGGTAATAGACCTTACATGTTACAAAGATCCGGCCTATCCATCATGAGCACTTTAGCAAAGCAGCAAAAGTTACAGTGGTAAGAAAAAACTGCCTTATTAAAAGGCAGAAATCTTAGGCCGGATCCCCGGCTCATGACGAAACAGCCTTCACAGGCCTAGACTGCGCCGGGCTAGGAAAGGGATAGGGGGAGAGATGGGACAAAATGCAGGAAGAGGGATAGGCCAAGAGTTTATGCTTGGTTTGATGTTGCTCCTCTTCTATGCAGAATTTTTATTTTAAAATGTCGCTCTGATTGCAAAAATAGAAGAGGAAGATTTTATATGTAAGCTTAAAGATTTCTCAAAACTGGACTTTCAATCAAAACGTGAAGTGATAAATAATGGAAAACTTTTAAAACTAAAAGAAGATAAGGAGGACTTTTACAACTAAGTCACAGATATTTTTGTCCAGAAGGATATGCGAATGGACTTTGTTTACAAGTAATGGTAAGACCATGAATACACCGCATTATATAGGCTTACTTTTATTTTTAGTGAAAGAGTATGAATTGTGGAATTGCAATGGCAAATTAAGAAAACACAGAGAGTGCAGCGCAAATGCGCTCTTTTTTCTGAGGCGCTATGAATGTAACATTCTTCTTTGGCCAAATATGTACCTTACCTCTATGTGTGTGTAAATAATGTGATATGAAACACAACCAGAATGTGCAAGCTACCAATTGAATGGTGAATTTAAGCTACTCTATAAATGGGTTCATATATTTGTATATCTGACTCTGAAAAAGTTAGTGCCTCACCAGCCACGAACCTCACCACACATGTCACTGCAACGAGGGCAGCACGCAAGAGCTCCATGGACTTTCACTTTGCGATTACCGCTTTACCCCACCAAACCAAAGACGTTTGATCATCCAGGACAGAGCAGCATAACTAGATGTTTTCCTATATTTTGGAATTTTAGATGATTATTCTTTTAATAACTACAAAATGGAACAACCTTATAGGGAGAAATAGCTCATAGCGGACAGACGAGCGAGATTGAGCGAGTGTGTCATTATGCACAGAGGAGAAAGATGAAACAGACGGACACTTAAATCGTTCACCTGTTCTATTGTAACATCATTTACCAGAGTAAAGTGTGCTCTACACTGCAGACTGTAGTCTTTGTTAACAAAATGTTGCTGTCAAAACAGCTTCAACGTGCGATGAGTGCCCATTGATGTCTGCGCGTCCGCTCGCCATACTCGCTGCTCTAATTATAATAAAGTGTTAAAACGATCATAAGATACGTCTGTGTGAATTTTTGCATTAAGAAATGTCCTAATTTGAACGTTAATACAAAGTATGCCTATTAATAACAATTATTAAAATCCTGAAGATTCAAATTAATCAGAAGATACAGTCAGCGTTGCGTCATAGTTGGGGGCGGGGCCTCCCGTGGGGGAAAAGAATCACAGAAAAACAAGAACTACAAAATGATTACTTGAGTACTTGCTTTAAAAATGGGACAGTAATCGATTAGAGAAAATGTTGCATTTCTGCACCCCTAGTGTGCTATATGAATTACAACAAGCATTATCACATGCATTTGATGTATTAATGTAATAAATGTGTCCATATCTCTAAATCTTGAACACAGATCTAATAAAGATATCGGCCGATATATCAGTATCAGATTTTTTTCTGCCCAATATCAATATCGGCCCAAAAAATGTCATAATGTTTGAATCGAAAAATAGATTCTGAATCGAATTATGACCCAAAGAATTGAAATCAAATCGGGAGAAACCCAAAGATTCCCAGACCTACTGCTCAATAAAATTCATTTTTTGCTAACGACAGCAAAAACTTTGTATCACTGACCGAAACAATACACTGCATAGATGTAACGTTAAATAAAAAACATTCAGTCTATTGTAAAGTGATATTACTGTTTTTGTGTCAGTGTTGTCCATGATGGAAAGAAACTGTTTTCTGTGAATAAATCCCATGGTCACAACAAAAGTGCTGACTAGTCAAAAAGTAGTGCTGTGAATCTGCACTTGATTGCTCTTCCTTACCACCCGCAAGTGTTTACAAAAATTGGTATCTGAATTTCCCAAGCTGAATAAGGGAATTTTTTAATGAGGAAAAACTTCAGTTTCAAAAAGTCGATTGAATTTCAGAATGTTAAATATAGTTTAAAGTTTATGATGAATAAATTAACTTTCAAATTATGCTTTTAGATTCAGTTTTAACAGCACAAACTCAAATGATGTGATTTAAAGGTAAACATTTAGTTGAGCAATTCAAATACAAATGTACACAATTCAAATTTAGTTTATGCTGACACAAATTTCTGCCCATTGTCGTTAACATTTACAGTTTGAAGTTGTATTGGACACTAAATATTCATCAGCCACTTATAGATCAATCAGACAGTTAAGGATGTAAGAGATATTGACCAGTCGATGACCAACGCTACAGTTAACTAGGTATGGAAAATGTTTAATGCAGTTCTAACTATATGTTCATGACCCTAATTTTTTATTTTACTTTTTTGTTTAAAGTTGCATTTTAAACCAAAATAAACTTTTTTTAGCATATTCAAGGATACCTCAATAATTTTGTTTACATGTGTGTATTTATTTATGCATTTTTTTCTTAAGAGAACGGATGGTTTTTATCTGTGTCTTTTCTCAAAAGGACTGCAAGGGCTGAACAGAGAGAATTGGCACACCAATCAAAATAGCATTTAAACCACAAGGGTAAGGGAACCAAGCAGTACATTCAGTAGGAAGAAAATGATCCTGCACACTCCAGAAAAGACCTATTTTTATGTCATCTCTGAGCAATTGTGCAGTGTCACTGTATCGCTGGACTCTCCATAGACATAAAGACTCAATGTCCTAAAAACACAAACCGTTATTTGCACATTGCATATCTTAAGTCATACATGGGCCAATTCATAATTTTGTGGCTGTGGCACAGCTATAAAATGTGTGTGTAATTCATCACAATATCTAATGTTTCCTTAGCACTGAATGAATGCACATTATACAAAATAACAATATTTAAGGTAAGTTTAAAAAAAACATTTGGCAGACTTCTAGATGAATTATCTGCATCCACACCACTGATCAACAGGATTTTGGCACACAAGTTTTACCCACTGTTATAATTCAATACAGCAATCTTATTATTTATACATCAAATAATCGTGTGGATATATTTATCTATCTGTATTGCTATCTTCAGTTTAACAATAGGGCCTCTCTTATATATAAAAACGGTAGTAGGCCAAGTAAGGGCTTTTCAAAGTGGGTTAAACAGCCTGCCTGCATCATTTTATCCTCTGCATGTTTAACAGATGTAAACAGCCAAACAGGGCCCCAATGTGGCCTTGCAAATGCCTCTGTGGAGACAGATACAGGACTAACTTGCCTACCACTAAGGGGCTGCCCAGACATGTCGCCTGACGAAAAATAACAGGGGCAAAAGTCTGAGAAGAGAATTTCTCACAGGTGTCATTTATTTTTGACCAAAAGCTAGATATAATGGGCTAAGATTACCCAGTAAAGCAGACGGTATGTTCAGGCTCTAGCCATCCAATTGATTAAGACCATCGTCAGACATGCAAAGTTGCTTTTTATCAAGAAACTGCGAGGGTCTGCGCATAAAACCGATTTATTTCATGATCGGCAGATTTGGCCTAAAGTAATGCGCAGAGGCCTTTTCCTCTCAGCAGCTGTTCAAAACGAGCTGCCTGTTTCAGGCTGTACACACTCGGCTTAGGGCACCACAGCAGAAATGGACCGGTTGCTTCCAGGCTGGGGGGGAAAAAACACGACTTGGGGATATTCTGGGAAACAGACTCACATATTGTTAGTCCTGAAAATCGCGTGATAAAAAAACAATGCATTTTTTTTGTTCTATTTTCTGTGTAAAATGTAGTTAAATACCATAACATCGAATCATAAGCCCCAGTGCTACATTATAAAACATTAATAACAAGTTTGGTCAGTATTCACCTTACCCTACTGTTTTCATACAACGTCAGTCAAAAGGAATAGCTAGGTGAGCTAATGTTAGCTCGTTAGCCACAAAGCTAACTAGTACATCTGCTTAATAAGACACAGTTTGCTGGCAGCTTGTTAAATACCTCCAGTTAGCTTGTTGTCAGAAGCTTTGTCAATGCGTCGTCACTGCTGCCAATGTTGTTATTGTACAGGCCACACGGAGCAGCGACAGAATAGTTAAATGCAAAGGAAAAAACACCAGGAATAGCAAATAAACAAAGAGGGGGGGGTGTTGGGGGGGACGAGGTGTTGAAGGTGAATTTAAGTGACACACTGTCAGGGTTAGTGAGTTCACTGTGGACATTCCTTTGCTAATTTGTGAAACAAAGCAAGGTTACAGGACAGGAGAGGCAGCTCAGACTAGATTTGCCAGGAGTGCACACACACACTCTCTCACACACACACACACACACACACACACACACACACACTCACACATTCACAATCAACATAATCGCATACTGTGTGTGTGTGTGTGTGTGTGTGTGTGTGTGTGAGGCAGAGCACCCCTCTTAAGAGCACTGAGACCCTCTGCTGCTGCTGTGACTAATGTTGTTGAGACTGATCGGGATAAGCCAGCTCTCTCACCTTTGTAATGGACCCGCAGGTTGTTCTGTGACAGTCCGATGTAGCTGTATTTATCCTTGGGGCTCCAGGATCGGGGTAACGGGGTCTCTTCCTCGTTCACAGCCGGGTACAGACGTTTCAGCCTCTCGTTCAGCTCGTGTTCCTGGTAATTAAAAGCAGGATCTCCTAATGACAGGCTTCCCGCTCCGAGCTCTGCCATCTCTGGCTTCTGGATGTGAATCTTATTGTGTCTTGTGTTTCTGTCCAAAGCCCCGTGTCAGTCCGCTGGAGCTGTGTGCTGAGAGTGAGAGGAACCGAGGGGAGAAAATAGCAGTGGTGTGACATCCCCGGATAAGCAGCAGAATGTACTGTAGGCTTGAGCAGCGCATTCTGGGTAGTGTAGTTCACCTGCCAGCTAGCTTCTATAATAGTGTCTTTAGAAATAGACAACACAGCTTCTCTTCGTACTGGGGAATACAGTTTTCTACTTTCAAATTCATTTGCAGTGTTTTAAACATGATCTTATTTTGTGTTTCACATAGCCTAGAGTGGCAAATGCATAATTTACATGCTAGATTTAAAATATATATATATATTTCAACATCTAGGCTAATCAAAGAGTAATGTAAAAGCGAGAGATTAAATACACGACTGTCTTTTTTGTTGTCGGCCTGCATCTCAGTTTAATGACTGTTTGACATTAATATAAGTTGCAATGGTCTAAAGTTCGTTATCCATTTGCTTATTTAGTTATCATGTTTGTGATCGGCACTGGTCTGGAATGGTGGCTTACACTTAATGTGTTGAAAATCTATTTTCATGTTTTTCTTCTTGTTAGTTCAGAAGTTCTCATCTTACACAATTTGAAATCTAGATAGGCGCGCGGCGGTCAACTAACTCGGTCCTTCGGCACGCTCCGCCCTCGTTACCATGGAAACTCCCTTACAATACTTTCATCTGTGACGCTGAAGTCAATCTTGAGCTAAACAGCAAAGACAACCATGATAAAGAGCTTGTGATGTTATTATATGGCCTGCAGTCGTCACTCGGAGATGTCGCTACACAACGATATTAAATTTCCACCCATAACACCGTCACAAAAAAAGAGGTAGGCTAAGACTTTAAATGTTTGTCGTAGACTTCATAGACAATTCTTGTAAAAGGTCATTAATATTTTATTACAAAAACATCATAAAACCAAACTACAGTGCTGTTGTAATGAAGTGCTGCTTTTGTCTTCAGTCTTACTAATTATTTAAGTTCACACACCTACCCTGTCCAGTCATCAGAGGAGCACAATGGGGAAAGTGGCGCCCTGTCTGTTCGACCTGCAGCAAGAAAGGTAGTTTAAACAACACCTGCCATAATACCACTCATAAGATAAGTGTGACTGCTGTAAATATGATTTGTCCACAGAGCCAATCACTGTTACCGTGTCTTTTTCATTGTCATCACAGTAAACTTAAAGCTGTGTGTGTGTGTGTGTGTGTGTGTGTGTGTGTGTGTGTGTGTGTGTGTGTGTGTGTGTGTGTGTGTGTGTGTGTGTGTGTGTGTGTGTGTGTGTGCCTCTTGTTTGGTAAACCCCAGTTGAACTGGATGGATTCCAGTCATATTTTTGCTGGCCCATGGAGAAAGCCTCAGCTCCTGATTCAGCTGGAGAGCTATGTGAACAAGGAGCTTCAAACTATCAGCTTTGATCAGCCAGCATTTCAGGAACTAAAACTACAGGTGCTATTATGGTTCACAAAAAAAAAAAATCAACAGTTAAAACACAAAACCAACCTTTTTTTTTTTTTTTTTTGTCAGAGAGATTGTACTCACATGTTTACATCTGCTCTCTTCAGATCTACCGTGACGTTTTTGGACGATTCATTAAAGAGTTCAAAACCTACCAACCCCTTCTGTCTGCTATCAAAAAGGAATATGAAAACATTTTAAGTCAGTGACCTTCTCAGCAAGCTTTTCTGAATATTGTTCTTTAAAAAACAATAAAAAGTAGTATAGCTTAATACTGAATGATGACCTACATCAATTATCCATTCCAGCATTTCCCATCTGGGGACTACAAGTACTACAAAATTATTACTCCTGAGAGAGAGGCAAAGATCAACCAAAGCACAAATTGTAGGATTGTTGTAGTTTGAGAAGGCTTGGTATTAAGAATAAAATTACACTGATTGCTGAATCACCTTTTGATTTTATTTCATTGACAAAAACATACAGATTTGATAAACTTGTGAAAGGACCCTTGCAGTAAATTAAGTATCACAATTAAAATACATTCCTTTTATTATCAAAGTTTGTTTCACAGTTAATCATTTGATCACATTTTACATCTGTTCAGCATTCCAGCAGGATCAAATCCAAAAACTGGAACCACTGCAATCCCATTTTAGGCTTGCGTCAGAAGAATGTGATAAGAAGATACAAGCTCACTTAGAAGAGGAGCAGGCCAAGATTGGAGCCTTGAAAAGGGAGAATCGGCAAATGCAAAAAACCATTGAGGATATGAAGGAGAAAGAAAGGGCGATGCAAAGAGTGGTATTTCAAAGTTGTGTTCTAACCACATGTTATATTTTCATTCATTTGATTTGTAGGAAATTCAGCCTGTTGCAATCCTTTACGCATTCATTTACACAATGCTTCCTAATTATTCACATTATTTAGTTTGAGCCTCAGTTGCTGGAGCAAGGTCAGACTTACAATTTCACAATCTCACCCTCACTCCTTTTTCCATTCCTTTCAAGGTGGACCATCTGCAGGCTGAAGTCTCTAACCAGTATGTGCAGTACCGGGAGGAGGGTGATGCCCGTAAGCTGCTGATCTGGCAGCTCAATGACTTAACAGGAGGCTCTGTTAAGGAGGACCCTGCAGATCAAAAAACAGGTAGAACTGCAACTACTTGCTACTTTGCTCTATGTTGCTTAGTGGTGTGATCATGATGGATTAATGTTGGGTCTTTGTAGATAATATAACAAAGAGTAAGGTGTTTCACCTCAGTGTCCTGAGATAACATGTGTTAGTGAATTGGAACTATACAAATAAAGATTGATTGATTGATTGATTGACTAGAACAGTGGTTTTCAACTGGTGCAGAGCAATTTTCCAGTGGGTCCCAAATGTGTGCCTTGCAAAAAAAATTGTGTTAAAAAGTCTATGAAACACTCTTTAAAACATGTTTGTTTTGTTAAGTCTCTTTGTTCTGTCAGAAGTTGTTGACCATCTGAGGCCCAAGCTGCAAAACTTTTCATTCAATAAATCTGATCGGTTGAGAACTATCAGAAATTTGGGATCCAATTTCTCTCTAAGGAGTTGGTGATGGTTAGACCAGTTGAGAACTATTGGACTAGAGGATTACTCAAACATGCAATAAGATCACAGACCATTTTGATACTGAGTCAATAGTTTTGTTTTCTTAAATTATCCTGGTCCAAACTTTTAATTGTGGATATGTCCTTATTTCTTTAGTCTTCATTGTGAAGATGTTGTGGTTTTAAACTGTTAGTCTGACAGAAAAAGACGAAAGTGGAAAAAAAAGTGAAAATGAAGTTGTCCACTCGAGCAAAGTGATGTTACCCTCGGGCATATCTTACTTTCTTTCTTCTTATTTAATGAACAAAACACTAATTGATGAATAAGAAAATATAGAAATATGAATACAAAAAATGATCAGTGGTTATTTTTGTCAGTCAAAAAAATGTACAAGATGACAAGACCAATACAGCTGTTGAAGACAGATATTTAGCTTTAGCATTAATATTGAAAACAGAAGAAAACAGCTCGACTGGCAAAAAAAACACTAACTGGCACATATAAAGCTCATTAATACACATATTTAAAATACTTTGTTTATCTGTTAAAAAACTCAATTGTAAAAACATGGCGAGCTGCACATTGCCAAGGTTATTTGCTGGACTGTTTCAAGAGCTTAAGTCAATGGCCTGATCCAAGAAACAGTCTGCACTGGCTGTAGCATTAAATTTAAGGTACAGACATGAGAGGGTTACGAATCTTGTCATCTTAAGTTTATGTAAAGAACAAAATGGGCCTTAAACTCTCAAAACACAAGCAATACCTTCTTCTTGTTCTTAAATATACATATCCTAAATTATGTATGGCTTGACATTAATTTGCACTATGAAAAAAGAGATTCAGGACCCTGTGGTGCTGCAGCTTGCTCTAAAGGTGTGTCGGGAAGACCTGACCAAAGTGCAGACGGAGCTGGTCAAGATAAAGGCGGAGCACTGGGATGTTGTGCCGCGATGCAAGTGGGACACCCTGACACAAACACACACACAGACCCTCCTGCAGGTGGCTTATAGTTACACATATATAGCATTGAACAAAAAAGAATGTATACATACTCAGATGTCTGGATTTTACATCTTAAAAGCCTTCAACCTTGGTCTTGTCATGTGTGCTTTGTGGATGTCTGCAGTTGCAAACGCTTCAGGGCGACTTTGATCGGTTGAAGAGTGAGTATGACAACCTGCTGGAGCTCCAGGCAAGAGAAACCATGCAGAACAAGAGACAAGACTCCATCAGTGAGCAGGTACTTGACAGAACTCGTGGGATCAAAAGAAGGCACAGTTTGTTGTGGTTAGACGTTATGAAACGAGGCCTCTGAATATTATGGCTGCTGTGATCATGTCTGTCAATTAATTTGTTTGGCTAATACATTTTGTAAGCAAGCCTAAAATAAGCCAAACGTTTTACTCGGATCAGATAACTGAATATGATAGAATACTTACATTTTTAAGTTAGAAAAACAGAAACATTAAAAAGTAAATTTGGGGAATGCGCTTATTTGCTTTATTGCAAGAGTTATATAAGAAATAAATAAACAAATCAAAACAGCTAGTTGTTTTCACAAAATGTTGAACTCTGCATAGGAACATATGAAATCCTCCATCCTAAGTTTAAATATGAATCCTTTGGGTGTCTATGTTTTACTCTGTCTGTGGTTTGTGTCCCCTTTTTGTGCATTTGTGTAGGTGTTGGAACTGAGGAAGGAAGTCCCTCAGAAGTCTGCCAAGGAAATAGAAGAACCGATGGCCTCATCTCAGAGCAAACCAGACAGTAACACCATCTCCTCTTAGATACTTCACATCTCTGTACAAACCAGAAGCCTTTCACTGTTTTTTCAGGCTGGTTTTGGGGTTTGTTGTTCACTTGAGGCATTCCACATCTCTCATATGCAGCCATTGTCAGACCTCTGTGCCTTCCTGTGGTGAAAATATTGAATAAGACTTTCCTTTTTAGGTGACCTCAGAGGCTTTAATGTGTCAATCTGGATGCACCATTATATGTTTTCATGTTTCATGCATGGGACTAGATTCCTCATTAATCGTGTATTGTGCCAATACACATTTTGAGCAGCTCCTACCATTGAAACAACTGCAAATGTCCATGCATTAATATAGCCGTATCATGTCAAACTGAAGAGTTTATTCTAATACAAATCTTTTCACCTCCAGTGTAGATAGGAGTGTTGCATCATAGCTCTCATAAAAAAATATTGTGGGCATTGCTTTAAAGGCTCTTGGGGAAAAAAAGTAAAAAGAAACCAAGGAAGAAAAAGGATAAAAGTGGAAACCAAAAATATAGGGAATTAATACAAGGGCCGGACAGATATGGGATTTCTGGGGCTAATACCAATACCAATATTGGCAAGAAAAAAAACCCAGATACCGATATATTGGCCAATATCTGTCTTAGATCTATGATATCTATAGAGATAGATAGATAAAAGTGTACACATTTATTGTGTTGATCCCTTTAAATGCAGTTATCAAAGACTTGTGTAAAAGACATACAGTATAACGAAGACAAGATGGTTACTCAACTGGAAAGTAACTGTGCATGTACGTGCATCACTGCTTGATGGAGAGGGATAATACTTGTTGTAATCCATATAGCACACTGCTGGTGAAAGAGAACAGCTAGTTTAATACAGTGTAACTTAAATGAAATGCAATTTGACTGGGGAATAAATCTAGTACTATCGGCTCATAGCTGCGATAAAAAATGAGCCAATACCGACAGTCACTGAATGAGATATTATCGGCTGCTATTATCGGCTAACTGATTAATCTGTCATGCTCTATTTAATTAATAAAAAGAAAGGACTCTTGATCATGAAAAATACAAACAGTATACCATGCTTTTTTGTTGGAGAACAGGGAAGGGATTCATTTGTTAACTTTTCGTAGCAAGAGTTCCATTAATCAGTTATCCAACAATGAATGTGCAGTGAAATAAATAATTAAAATAAATTATTATTAATGAGATGCTGTCTAATAGTAGTAAGTATTTCAATCTTCATCTTTTTAAAAAGGACAATCTTTTATTTCACCACAATTTTTTCAAAAAAGATTCTGGGGTTGAAACGTAAAGGTTCAATGTTCAATCACAACAACATTTTGTTACAGCCATGTCTTGTCTAGTGTCATACTGGTCAGAACCAAAGATTTCATTATGTACCAATAAAGGTATCATAGCCATTCTGGCCTGCGGCTAATTTTTTCCTCAAGCCTATAAATGAATCCATGATGAGTAGGCTATATTTCCAACACTCATAAACCACAAAATATCATAGTCTAAAATTAATTAAAAAAAATGTTAAAGTTAAATGCCGTCTACTATGCTATATATTAGACGAACCCGTAAAAACAGTGGCCACAACTCAACTTAATAGGTTTGTTTATCTTTGAGCTATAGGCCTAGTTCCGAAAATTGTTCGGACATAAAGACTACAACCCCCACAATCCATCGTTCTCTCTATTGCGTTGAGTGCGTGCCCTCGGAGGGTAGATACACTGTCAAATCGTGCAGCCGGCCTCGGCGTTGGTTAGAGGTAAGTCTGTATTACACATTTTTGGAAAACTCTCTTAGAGAAAAGTCAATGAAAACATATTCCAAAACGAAAAGCGCCGAGTTAATCTGACATTTGAAAAAGTATATAATATTACAAGTGCTTTAACTGGCTGCTCCCCTCCGGTTGAGGGCTAACGCTGGGCACGCCTATGTAAGGTAGCTGCTCCAGGGTCCGAGAGCGATGTGTGCGGGCCCGCAGGAGGCTTCACACCACCTGGGTATTTTTAGCAACCAGTGGAAAGGCGAGCGCCAGCGAGCTTGTTAGCTAACGCATGGAAATATAGTTTATCGGACGTCTAACATTAGCTGGCGAGGAGGCAACTCAGGCGACCAATGTTAGCAAACAACACCGCTCAAAAGCTAGTAGCAGCTAGTTAGCTCGGTAACTAGCCACAGATGAGCTTTTCTATATGTTATCGTTAACGTCAGCAAATCAGCATATTTTATCTCCCTGTTCAATTCACCAGGGCCTGACTAACGTCACTTGTGTCTCGGTGTTAACTAAGGTAACACATTTTTTGTTTGGACTGAACCGTGGATTGCTAAGCTCTTTTCAGAGCTCTCAGATTGTTCCAGTAGCGACAGTGCATCGTTATGCAGAAGCACGTGACTTGTGCTGTCAGTGACATCCAAGTGGTGGGACGGCGTGAACACCAGCCGGCTCACCGTTTCAGCCGGCTTACCTTTCACTGTTTTTCTCTCACTGTGGTATATAAATACATTTTAAGTGCACTTGCAAATCTGACCTTGCTTTTTCTTATATTTTGAATTTCATTCGGCATTTAGGACATGCTGTGATGTTGATATGTGTTGTTGTTGTTGTTGTGAGTCAGACTCAGGTGGTCTGTTTGGTGTCATCAAACAGGAGTAAGTTGATAACAATAGTTATATTTATGTAGATTAAAAAAATCGATTTATACAATGGCTAGAGGATGTCGATGTGTCAAAATTAATCACAAAATAAGAATGGAAAAACCATTAAAATGTGGAAGCCTGAAGGAATGTGTTCATTAGATAAATTAGAAATATGGATTGTTATTATTATTAATAATATTATTATGCACTAATTATGTCTGTCACATGCGTTGTAGGAGTTTTTTTTTGTTTAAGCAAGAAAATAAAAAATAAAATAAAGAAGTGCAAGGTCAATCATCTTTTTGTATCCACCTTTTTAGAAACATAACATGCCATGAGGGACTGTGAACAGAGCTGCTACTAACTAATGTCCAATCTGTTTTTTAGTTTAAATTTCTTCAGTGTTCATCATTCACAAGGTTTTTTTTTTTTTACCAGGAAAGGACATGGAAATAAAGAGCACACTTCTTCACTGGGTCAACCTTTAAACTTGCTGTAATTGGAACCCAGTGGTGAAAGTGGCATGTAGGATAGCTGCTATTGAGTAAAAAAACAGTAAGACCAAAGTGTCTGTCAAGAGAAACCCTCTACCCCCCCACCCTAGATTCAGTTGTATGAGTTGTATTAGCAGGGAATTATAATCAGAATCACTACTGTAATGTGAAAATATTATTATTATATATTTTTTTTATTAATTGCTATGATTTAACGGAGGACAAGATGGAATTTTTGCTCTCTATAGCTCTCTTTCCTTAACACACATCATATCGTACTGTCTGTCACACTTGCAGAAAACTCCTGAAAAACTCCTGATATTTGCAGGAGGAGTTGTATGTTTGAATGCAAACAGCCACATTTTTCCCTTGGACTTGATCTGGAGTTCCTCCAAACAGTCCAACCAGCATTTTTCTCTGCAGAAAGTCTGAGTGAGCTGATGTGAGAATCGAGCAGGGTGTTATCTGAAGCATTCACCTTAAGCAAGTGGGAGGGGATAGTGACGTTAACTTCCTGCGATCGGTGCACATAGCTAGACTGTATTGACACGACCACTTAAATCTCCGTGCATGTCATTAATCCGCTGCATTACGTTTTCTGTTCGCCAGTATGTTCTTCTCTGCTCTTTTGTTGATATTGTGATTCTGTAGAACTGCACATAGCATTCCTATTACCAGCAGATATTTCCATTACAGCGTTGTATACTTTATCTGCTACTTCCATGTCCATCTTGTTAAGTCTTGCTTCAGTAGACCCCCAAATTCTTGTTTGAATTTCTCAACCAATATATTTATTTTACCACATCATGTAGTCTACGTCCCATTTATTTCTAATGTGACAGGGATTACATTTCTTTATGGCTACAATGGATTTTCATTTTCACAAGAGTAATGATTTTTGTGGTTCGTGTCATTCCAGCGGGAGAATAAAAAAAAAAAGTGGGTTGGTGACATGACTTCAGCAGCAAATCTTTTCTTCTTACTTTCAGTCTAATTTATTACTTGAATCAAGTAACACAGTGTAGTTACCCATTTTATGTGGAAATTCAACTTCTTTTCAGCTACAAACTACATTGTGCTGCTTTAATTGCTCTTGTCAAAGTAAAATATGAGAGAATGAGTTTCCATAAAATGTTCTTCTTATACACCACTTGGGTTTATATCGGCCCCTAATAGCACACTACTACCCTCCTACTGTACATTAAAAAAAAGCAAAATTGTGTGTTTATAAGTCAGTTTTTTAATATGTCAGGAGTAATTTGGCCAACCACTACTAAGATTTCCATTTATCATTTTTATTTCTTAAGGAAATCACAAGCTTTCAATAAGGATTTAAAATAAAAGTGCATTTCTAGAAATTAATTCAATTAAGCTCCAGTGTTATCAACTGCAAAGATGAACTTTTCAATAAAAACAACAACAAAAAAGTCGATTTCCTTCTGAAATGAGCCGGTCTGCGTTATAGTTACTATTTAATTTTTTTTAACGAAAAGTACAGTTTTATTCTTGACTTTTCAATATTGGAAATGTCCCTGCAGGATTTTGCTGCCTTTTTGGTATTGTTGTGGCTTTAAAATACCAGATTTTGCAGCAGCTTTAAAAAACATTCATACATTGTAACATTTTGAGGCTTCATTTTTTGAATGACATAGTAGGAGCAAGTAAATTAGCAAAAATAGTTGCAGCTGTTTTTATTGTCCGAGGCAGCCTTTCAACTAAAACTACAACTACAACAACAACAACAACAAATCTGGACTACTAACGGCCGCACTCATGGACAGGGTAGACAACAGTTTGAGTTTGGGTGATGAATACCTGTTGCTAGCTGACAGTGCCAGTCATTGCATTCTTTGTCTCTTGTTCAGTTGGATTGAGGTCTGTTGGGACCATAGCTTGGTCACTCCATTTTTGTACGCTTTTATTATTATTTTTCAGAGTAACCCATTTAACTTATTGAAATGAAGAAGGAGGCTTGTATTTAGTTCAGTTTTGTCAGACCTTTTGTTTACTTTATAGTTACCGTTTCTTTTTCTTTTCATTTTTTTAAATTTAGCTTCTCTTCTGTCTCCCCCAGGGTGAGTCAGGATGGTGGACCAGCCTGTGTGGGAACATATAGGATCCAGCTTTGTGTCGCACTACTATCATTTGTTTGACTCTGACAGAACGCAACTTGGATCCATATATGTAAGTGTGGAAAAAAATAGGTGTGTTAAGAGTCGACTTACCACAGTGATTAGCAGCATCTCTGACTGAAACAAAGATCTAACAACATCACTGCTTCCTGCTACACTTAGTGTGCAAGTGCACATGATGACCTAACCTGCTACAATAAGATTATGAGCTGTTTTAATGTGGTCTCAGATGGAATAAACATTTTCCTTTATCAATAGTAGATCAGTTATCAACAAGCCTGTGCAAATTGCAGGCACAAGTTAAGATACAAAGCTAAAGATGTGTTGGTGTTTACACAGTTATGTTTTGTGTGCAGCACTTATCATCATGCTGTATAGCACCCCATGTTTTGGCTAGTACATCACTTGTCCTTTATGGCGTGGGTTGCTTGTTTAGACATTTTTAATTGGAAAAAATACAAATGTTTGACTAAATTGTTGCTTACACATCAGAAAACCTAATTATCAAACATTTTTCAAAACCTAGTATCAAGTTCAGATGTGGAAATCACAGAGTTTCACAGGACTAAGCACGTATTATGTTAATGTTTCTGTTTTTATTAGTTTTCTTCAATGGACATTTTTTTAACAAACCAATTTAAAACTGTGAAGGCAATGCTCATGCTTTCGGAATAATAAATATTAAGCCTCTAATTGTCTCTGTTATCATTAACCAGAACATTTTACTTTCTATATATATATATTTTTCTGTTTTTAACCTGAAGTCCTCTTTATCAAGTCATCTAATCAAAGTTTAACTGTAAATATACAAAACGTTGTCATGAATTTATGTTGAAATAACCCTCCCTTTGTGTTATTGTGTCAATGGCATAATATGCTGGAAGTGAGTAAAGATGTTGTTTTTTTTTATAAATCCCTCTGCTCTTTATTGTCTTGTGCTCCACAGACTGATGCATCATGCCTTACATGGGAAGGACAACAGTTTCAGGGAAAAAGAGCAATTGTTGAAAAACTCAGTGTGAGTATAACCGGTTACTCATTGCTATAAATATGTACACAATGGTAAAGTAAGTCACTAGGCTTACTTGCTAACAAGGAACTAGGTTATTCTGAGAAATCTGGTTATGCAAGCAATCAGAATTAAATATGAATAGACAGTGTTGTTGCAGGGGCGCTGTAGATGTTTTGAAGCAGCAGCGGTAATCGTTTCTGTAAATTCCTTTTGGAACCTTTTTTTTTTTTTTTTACTGCGCTGGTGATACAAACTTAAACATGTGACCTTCTTGCCCTTTTGAAATTGTAAGCATAAGGTCGGACTTTAGGTGTTGTGCCTCTTAGCAATGTCGATACATAAAGTAAAACCAGACTCTGTTGCTGAATGCTGAGTCAATGTGAAAGTACAAAGGTTGAGTGACAGCAGAGCCTGGCCATGGCGCTGTTGCATACACGCAATGAAAAAGGGCTTCTCTCTCTCGTCAACTAATGGTCCACTGTTCAGCTGTTGAAAACAAACTTATGGAGGTAGCTTTGTGTCAGATCCACTTTATGATCTATGATATTATCAGAAAATGTTAATGAAACTAATGTATGTATCAACTTTAAATTGGGTACACATTTGTGTTCCTTATTTTTCTTTAAATATTTGATAAACTGCTTTAATGTTAATCTTGTGTATGTTTTTGTATACCAGAGTCTCCCCTTCACAAAGATAGCGCATAGTATAACAGCGCAGGACCACCAGCCGACTCCAGACTGCTGCATCTTGAGTATGGTTGTAGGACAGCTAAAAGTAAGTAACAGTAAACATAATAAAGTAAACAAGGTCATCCGTCTCTGTACTTTGATTTCAAATAGTTTCTGGTACCTTCTTACAAGATACTTTATCATGATCTGAAGTCGTGCAACTTGTCGTATGCTGTTTATTAGGGATGCAACAGTACAGTCAACCCACGGTTCAATAAGTACCCCGGATGTTTGGTCGTAGTTTTCGGTTCCATTCTGACAGCCCAGGTGTTGGAGTATTTTTTTGGGGGGGGTGTTCCATTCTTTGGAGTTTTAGCCAAACTTTACAGGAACATACAGGAAAAGAAAAAGCTATTTTTCTATTTCAAAACTTGTTCTTTAATTTACTTTTAAGCAAAACAACTTTTCCATTCTACACTTCCTGGTGGATGGTGTTCAAGCTCAGTAAAAAGAAGGCAGCGTTTAAGTAGTGCCATGTAGAAATGTACAAACAGGAAGACGTTTTAGTATTTTACAATATATATATATATATTGTGTATTTTTCGCAGACTTTCACCCATAAATGGGTCGTAAAGCATTGATATTTCTATGTGTACGGTAACTTTGTTTCAAACGCTGCTTCGTCCTTTCTCCGTCCACTCTCACCCTGACTGAATCATGCAGGTATCAGCTGGTGGCTGCGTGTGACAACAGACAGTAGCGTCATGTTAGTAATGTTACAGCCTGCTGTAGTCTGCTGCTGTATACTTGGCCAAACTCCGTAAGTATTCCCATTTGAGTAGGCGACACGTGTAAAACAATGTTTACTAAACAGTCATTTTTTATTTACGTTTTTTTCTTCCTTGTAATTATTCTCAATGCCGAAACCAAAATGTCCCCACACCACTGATTTAAAAAGACGGTGGTGTTTTCTATACTGCTGCCTCTCCTAACCGCTCACCATAAAGTAATGTGTGAAATCTGACATCAGTGTTGTCAGGTTCCTCATCATTAGCACATGTGATTTGATATTAACTCGTGGGGAGGAGTTTCCTCCTCTCAGCACTTGGACTCACAGGCACCATGAGCCAATTCGGAGAGAAACACAATGCAAGAAAATACTGCAACTCACAAGCGCGTATTGGACCATGGATGCAATACCGAACAGTTCAATATTATATTGAGAATTGTTGCATCCCTAATGTTTATTACATTTAGTCCAAGGGTATATAATGAAGAAAGAGTGTTCTGGATGATATAACTTCTCAAAGGTTGATGCCCAGAAAAAGCACTATTGAATGAAGTGCTTCTGACAATGAACATGAGATGATGTCCAACAGGACACGAGCGGTGCATCCTTTGTACAACACAGGCTGGCAGTTGAAGGGTTTAAGAATCCTCTCTTCACTCGAGCTTTTGAACACAACACAATGTAGCAGCCGATAGCACACACCCTTAGCCCAAAGAGTTGTTCTCTCTCTGAACACATCGTGATGTATGGCATTGCAAGTGTCTAAACTATAGCTTCTGCAGTGATTATATCCACAGTTTGTTAGTGTTTCAGGCCTTGACTTTTGCATTTGCACAATAACTATATTTACTCAACTGTACAACAGATGAAATAAACTTTTACTTTGTCCTGAACCTGTTTTCTGTTTGTGTGTTTATAGGCAGACGATGACCCCATCATGGGTTTCCATCAGAGTTTCATTCTGAAGAACATTAACGATGCATGGGTGTGCACCAATGACATGTTTAGGTTGGCCATTCACAACTTTGGCTAGCCCAAACCCTCACACTCTGGTGGGCGGGGGTGGCCATAGTGAAGGGCACTTTGTGATGGATTATGGAGGGAGGGAAGTGAGGAGTTGAGGATGGAAATAAGAGAGAAAACTCATCCCTCCCTCCTGCTGTCTCATTTACGCCTGTTTGAAAAAACAATCAAACACTAGATGTCAATCACTGAACTTCATCTAAGTGGGTTTTAGGACAAGCTCAGCCAGTAAAATTGCAACGTGTTTCTTTGCTGAGAGCCGGCCGACCAATCAGATGCCCCTGTCTGCCACTCTGCTGACCTGCATGACGCTGGGAGCCTCCCATTACAATGTCTACACTCAAGTCACCAAAAAGACAACAGCTGACTTGCGCCAATAACTCATACTCTGCTGTCCGCCGTTCTTTAGTTATTTCTAACTCATCCAACTCTGTTGTTAACTGATCTGTTGTTGACTGGCTTCCAAATACATGTTAAGGTTTAGATTTGGCTTCTACAGTTCCCACTTCTTGTATTGTAAGTTGTTTTTAGATGCCACTTATGTGTTGCCTTAGTGGGTTTAACTGAGTTTTTATTTTCCTTTACATACTGGTAATTGTTTACTTTGCCTTTTTTCAATTTCCCATGCCAGGTTTTGCTCTTGCAAACCAAAGAATCATAGATGACAAACATCTGACCTTCTCGTGTGATTGGCTCTGTTCCTACATATTTACTAAGTCTGTCTCTCACTCTTCTGTCTTTCTCTTTTACATCCCATGTCAGGCAGTTACATGGTCAACAACCACAAAAGACAATAAAATCTGGACTTTTTCTTAGTTGTGTTTTGTCATGTCTCCATGTTATTCTAACAAATGATTTCATTTCTGTCATTTATCTTACCAAATTGTGACTCCATACAAGTGTTGTTCACGATATTTCACTCTTGTTTTTTGCAATGGTTAGTATGGGTGCGTCACTACTGACAATGTGAAATATGCTTTTTTGTGATCCTGTTGAAAAAGGGATTTGTCACATATGCATTTTGTTAGTTGGCCTGCCTAGTTTAATCTGTTTAGTTTAATCTGTTTACTGAAGTCAAAGCAATTTGTCCTGGCTAGATGAGACATATCTACAGTACATGAAATAGTAAAACAGCTGATCAATGCGACTTCCACTCTATTAGCTCAGTAAGTCATGACAGGCTGGAGATAGTTTTATATGACACAATAATTCCTGGCCTCATTTAAATTAAAACATTAGGACAATGAAGTTTGGGGAAAACCACTGATGCTGGATCTGCACTTTGTATTGGCATACTATTTGGAACAATTGTGTCTTGAATCCACAATGTAATCCCAATGTCACAGCAGGCGAATAGGTTCCTCGCCTGTCAAAGTACTAGAGTACACAACGAGAGATTTAATGACTGATATCAATGATTGTATTTTACAGATCACATTTTTTTTTACAATCTCTAAAATGACTAGCACGGTGACAGCAGATAATTTGGATTTGTAATTGTACTTCTCTCTGTTGAATGCGTCTGTTAAATACAAATACCAGCGAGAGAAAAATGAGTTGAGAGAAACCAGACAGAGAAGGTTCCAGTCACCTGACCCGTTCATGAGTCATAGCCTTCATATATATATAGTGTGTATTTTTTTTCTTTCCACAAATGACGTTATTAAATGCCATCTTCTAAAGCATCAATTAATCGATATGTAATTGAAACGTTAACCTTAGAAACATTAACGGCATGGCAAATGCGTATACCTTAAGAAAGAAATTGAGGTAGGAACCAATGACGAGAGAGCTTAGCGCGTCGGAGCCCGAGGCGCGGACATAACGGAAGTTTAGACGGTTGCTCAGGGTGAACGAAGTGAACACAGCATTGCATCAAAAAAGAAACCCTTCTTACCCTCATTAACCCTGTCTCCCCTTTCCCTCATACATGGCGTCCAGTGCTAATATAGACATTGAGGGTGCTACTCAGCATCTTCGGGACATCCTGAAGCTCGACCGTCCCGGGAACGGCACCGGTAAGTAGAACCGGGACCGGGACCGCGGCTGCGCTAGCTTAGGCCGCAGAAGCTTATCGAAAGCTAACTAGCCAGCTAGCTAAATTGTTTCCTAGCTAACGTGAGTTTGTTAGGCGCGGTGCTGTACTGGGGTTAAGTTAGCTCACCTGTAAACGTAGGAGGCAACACACACGTATCTGTTTGAATTTGTTGATGTTCTTCTCTATATCAGAAGGTTTCCTGAGTTTGAGATGCGTCTAGTATTTTACTCTTAGCTGACTTATGTTGAGAGCTAGCTTACGTCTCAGTCTATTCTCTGGTCTCAGGAAAGCTAGGTTTGCTCGCCAAAGCGATGGAAAAGTAGGTTTTTTCCTCAGAGATATCGCTCCAGCACATGTTTATTTGTATCTTAAAACCACATTATAAGCAGCTGTCTTCATTGTGACACTGAGTCGTTTCGCCGCAATTGTTGTGCTGCAATCAAGAATTAGCTTGAGCCTCCATAACTGCGTACATGTTGGTTTCTCGTTGCTGTTTCGTTTTTGATACTTTCCCCTCAAGATTACCTCTCCTTCTGAGTCTCACATCCGTCAACATTATGTAGTGTATCTTTTACATGGGCTATTGGGAAGTTGGACGAGAGGAAAACAAGGGTTTCTTTGTTAAGACCAGTTCCCGAGTGTCCTTTTACTACATGATTTACAATTTGATTTATATTTATCATACAGGAAAATGTAAAATACAGTGTTTAGGAAATGTTTTTTGTAACCTGTTTTTGAAAATTCAAATGAACAAAAAAAGCACTCTTAATTAAAAAAAAAAAAAAAGGTATGTGCTGTTTAAGCCTGTAACATCCTGTTGGATGATGTCACACTCTGCTGTCTGAGCTTTCACTTTATACTGTCGTGTTTCTCACTGCAGCTCATGGTCAGTGTTTCACTCACTCTATGGGTTTAAAACAAATATCCGAACCAAAATTGACACAGAAATTCACTTGTTGCAAGTGTTTCAAATTATGTTCCTTTTTAAAAAAAACAAAAAACAATAGTATGAGTTTGTTGACGTTTAATTTGAACCAATACTCAAGGGTACGTGACATGTTTTATTGTCCCATATATCTTTGTTTTTTAAACGGCTTCTCCCCAGTAGTGCAGTTTGCTTCACTTGTCAATGAGGGAAATCCTACTTATTCTGCCTGCAGACGTTGCTCTGTTTGTAATTTTCCTTTTAACACAAAATAGCAATGACTAATATGTACAAGACTAAATATGACAACAGTGCAGTGGTGAGTAGTGCAAAAGATGCTGAAGTAAACATGATGATAAATGTAATTATGTGACAGATGGGTTAATTTACATGAGGTAGAGTTTTCAGTATTAACATTCAAGTTGTGCTTAGATTACTTGCTTAAACATAAGGCATTCAAGACAAAAAATTGAGACGGTTTAATACTTAACACAAATTTTTTAGATTTTCGGCCACCACTGCGATCTTGAGAGAGTATTCAGCCAATCATAGAATTGATCTTCACAGGTGGGGTTAATTATACAGGCTTCAACTTGTACAACAAGCACATGGTAACAGAGGAAGCAACATCCTTTTCTAAGTGCACAGTTTCATGATATGGATGCTAAAACATGACCCGCCCGCAAACTCCACACTTGTAACTGATGCGCTTTATAAAAAAAAGTGTATGAATTCCTTCATTTATTCTGTTGGGGGAAAATACTAGGGAAGCCTTTTTATGTGTTGCGTTGGAGAAGAAATAGGTTTGCTTCTCAAATGTATCGTCATTGTCTGAATACCCGACGAGCTGTAGTTTGCACAATCATGACTTACGACAAGGAAAGAGCTTTCCCATCTATTGTTTATTATATTTATGAAGAGAACACTTAAGTTTACAGATCCTCAGTTCTATCCCTTCTTTTGTTTTTTAAATGTTCTAAAATAAATAGTGTATTTTTCAGAGGTAGACCAAATATTTAGTGTTACCTGAGCTTCTGACCCTAACCTTGATGTCATCACCTTAATAGTAGAATAGCAACTATGATTAGTATCAGTTTTATTTTTTATTTTTACCAGTACCATGTTTGTAGATCTGTAATTGTTGCAACAACAGATGCATGGTAATAAATTGGTTGTTCATTTGTCATAAAATACTGTTATTAACATTGAGAAACAAACATGACTTCCTCCCTCTGGACTTTAAATTTGTGTTTGCTTTGAACTTTGATTATTGCACACTATATTCCACCATAACCTTGCATTTCATTTCCATCCTCAGATGCACAATCAAGTGATGGTCTGAAAATGCCATCATTTAATGGAGAGCTGAATGGTTTATTGGGAGCAGCAGGCCTTCTAGGAGGCCCTGATCGGTCAACCCTGTCAGATTCTACCAGACCCATCTCCACAGACCTCAGCACCACACAGGAGGTTCAGATCATGTAAGCTGTTCCTTGCAAAACTTTGCATTATGCAAATTTTGTGGCTTGGAGTGTGCACGCTTACGTTTGAATTCAGTAATGACAAAATCCAGAAGCATTTTCAACCAAGTTATGTATGAATATATCAATTCATGGTCAAATTAAATCTTCATGCTGCAATTCTAGCTGCCTTTCTGGTGATGATGGCTCCACCTCGATCCCTATCACCTCCAACAATGTGGAGATTGTGGCAAGTCAGGATTCCGCCATCAACAGCAAGGCCCGTGGCAGCAACAAGGTACGAGGCCAAGTTAATAGCATGGAAAAGGAACTGTGAATTTGGTGTATGAATAACAAGACAATTGCGTTAGAAACTATAATTAAGCTCAGCACCTGAATTTCGGCGCAGGATTGTGCAGAAAAAATGTGAAATTCCTGCAAGTCTGGCTATCATAATGCGGGAAAATCCTGCATCAATGTATAATAATGTTTACAACCCCACCCGTATGTCACACAACAAACCCTTTCATGGCTGAGTGTAGGGCAGACTGAGCAACACAAGTCTAGACCACTTTCATCTCGCTTCCTCTTTCTCTCCTTAAAGCATGCGTAAATATGTATGCTTTTGGGCAGGTGGGCAGTGAATTGCAGAGGCGACTGAGGTAAAGTTGCCAAACATTTGAGCAGTTTTATTTTCTTTATACATGAGTCAGTCATCTGCAATCGATGAATAGACGAGAATCTCCCTTTTTTCTGTACCCCTCGCGTATGCATCTGACATGCTCTGCATCCTGCACTATTGGATTGATTATTCACTTTATGTCGTTAATGAGGCTTGTCCACAAAATGATCCCAACGTATGTGTGGTTTTTGGCAACTTGTGTGTAAATAATACACACACATCAGGGCTCCAGAGTGCGACCAATTTGGTCGCACATGCAACCTTAATATTAATATTAAAATCTTAATATTAAGATCTCCTGATCAACTATTTGACGTTTAAATCTAACTTCCGTCACAGTAAACAGGGAGCCGCAGACACTGAGAGGCCACCGCAGTAATGGCGCCACCACAAGATGGCGGCACCCACAAATCGGCCGTAGTAATTAGTCTATACAGAGTTTACATGATAGTTTGCAGAACAAAGAGAAATGCAATTGAAGGTCAAATTTACTGGTAATTCCAAAAGTTTAAAGCTACTCAGAGAAACTGTAACTCTGTGCCGATTTTGGTGACCAACACACTGTTCACTCCTATGTAGAGTTCTCAAACTGAAAGAAAAATATTCCTGCTGACATTTAATTATCAATATTATCGCTCACTGAATTTTTTTCCGTGGAAATTGTAATCAAACACACGTGCTGTAAAATCTTGGCCTAACATTTATCCAGTGGCAGTGATGACAAGCATGAAAATACAAATTCAGACATAATCAATATTCTTCTGATGATTTTATTTGTTTTAAAAGGTCACTCAAACCCTTGTCACACATACGGAAATCTCCTGAAAAACTCTGGAGATTTGATTGTCTGAACGCGGCAGCATATACTTTGGAGATTTCAATTCGAGCCAATAGAAAGAGAATGACGTTTATATACAGTGACTGCCTAAAGTGTCTGCATGGAGATCGTAGAGGTCACGTGCAGACTCTGACAGGGAAAGTCCCCCGCTGTGAGGAGCATATGTGAACGGCTAGTTCAGGAGAATCTCCCCCGAGCAGTCCTCCTGTAATTATCTAGATATTATCCGGAGTGCATATATGCCTATAGAGGCATCAGCATTAATTTCAGCCTGTTTTATAACCAGATAAAAACTATCAACAGTATGTTTAGATTTCCCAAAAATCCCCCCAATTTTGGTTGGTGAATGTTTTTGTATACATATAAGTATTATACATGTTTTATATGTTTAGGTGAAGATTCAACCTGTTGCCAAGTATGACTGGGAACACAAGTATTATTATGGAAGACTGATCGCTGTCTCCAACTCCTTCGTAGCCTATGCCATCAGAGGTAAGAGTCCTTTCTTTTCCACCGTTTAATAACATGATTGATGCCCTTGGCGATGTTACAAATGAAAAACAACAGCTACAGCAGATAATAAGGGTAAAGAACAGCTGGGGGATTGATTGATTATATGGATCATTTCAAATTTAAGGTTTATGGTATATGACAAAGTTCAAAAATGTAATTTCACCTTTACCAAAGTAATTAAACTATGGAGCTACCACTTTCTCTAAGCTCCCTTAGATGACAGTTTTTTTTAAAACTCTTCCGACGAGGGTACAATTTAACATGGCAGCTTGAGCTAGCACTTAAAGAAGTGGGGATTCTGGTCCCAAAAGGCTTCTCAGTCCTTTTAAAGTGGTTATGTGATAATAGCGTAACTACCTTTTTTGCTAATTTTTGAAGCACCTTAACATTCATTCTACTTTAAATACCTCCCCCTGCAGGAGCCAACAACCATGCAATGATCCGCGTCCTGAGTGTGGGTACTGCTGAGCGCTCTCTACTGAAGGGCTTCACTGGAGCAGTCACAGATCTGGCTTTTGCCCATCTGGACTCATCTCTGCTGGGTTGTGTAGATGAAGCAGGCAACCTGATGGTCTGGCAGCTCACTTGCACTGGAAGCAAAATACTGTATCCTGATGTGTTGGAGAAATTTCAAAAGAGAATTTAGCAGTATGTGTGTCTGTGGGTGTCTTGAAATGTTTTGCTGTCTTATTTCATTGTATTCTTAAAGTACATATGGAAACATACAGTAGCCCAGATGGTCTGGTGATTTTACACAAACTCAAACTCTTAGGAATCCATAAGCAAAGGAACAAAACATTCAGAGAATGGTCTTCCATTTCCCTTAACTCATCTTGCCTACAGTGACCAGGTGGTGGTTCATATTCGACGGCCGGAGGACACTCCATTAAACTCCCACCGCCGCCTCATATGGTGCCCGTTCATACAGGAAGAGAATGAAGAGAACCAGGATGACACCAGCCAGACCTTAGCCCTTTTACATGAAGACAGGGTTTGTCTTAATAGAATTTGTTTACGAACATTTGTAATAAAATGTTAACATGAGGTCAAAGAATTATCTCAAATAGGGAAATGATGGTATGATCTTATACATGATATTAATTTATTTTATCTTACAAAGATTAAGGAAGCATGATACGAGATCGACACTCCCTGTATACACCTAATTGAAGAGTATCTGGAAAAACTAAACAAGGAACTTTGCATTCTCCTTTTAATCTCGTCTGCATATAGGCGGAAGTTTGGGATCTGGAAGTCTTAAAAGCCAACAACAGCAGTTGGCCCATTGATGCCGCAGACCTTAAAGACGGCCTCATCACAGTAAAAGGGCATACCCAGGTAAGGATAAAGATTAAACATTTGCATTAAAGCATTTAAAAACCGTTATTGACGCTTAAGTAGCCTTTTTTCCAAAATGCTAACTACGAAATGTTCCTCCGTGGGTCAGAGAATCACATCCTTACACTTTGGCCTTGGCATGATGTCAATGTTGTTTGATTTAATCTGAAACATGTTTAAATATATTTCTGACTAATGTGTCATTAATTGCTGTGTGGTGGGATGAGTCTTTTGGAGGATATATGTATTTAAAGGAAAATACACAATAAAATATACTTTCATTCTTGTAATGTAATGTAACTTAAACATTAATCATTTACGTTTTGCCAATTTAAATTGTGTTTACTGACTTTGCTGTAATGTTTTATGGGCCACAAACCAAAATTAGGGGCTTTGAAGCCTATGGGGGCAATGTTTAGGAATATTCTCTTTGATCCTTAATGTCGTGTCATGTCTGACTCTGCAGCGAGTCAGTGAAGGGGCCTTGTCTCCTGATGGAACCGTGTTGGCTACAGCCAGCCATGATGGATACATAAAGTTCTGGCAGATATACATAGAGGGGACACAAGACCAGCCAAGGTAAGCGTGATGAGAGTTCTTTCAAATAAACACTGATGTCCCCTCTATGAAATGCACATAATTTAATAACTTGTTGATCTTTGGCTGTAGATTAAAAAACAAAGAAAAATCTTTGTTCCACAGATGTCTTCATGAGTTGCGGCCTCATGGAGGACGCCCCCTCTCCTGCCTTCTCTTTTGTGACAACCACAAGAGACAGGACCCTGAGTACGTATAGACCGTGCACACAGCTTCCAGAGAAAATTGAGACACAAACAAGTTTACAATGTGGTTGTTGGTTGCTTTTAATTGATCTGCGTTCTGTTTGTCCTCTCTCTTCATGTCTCTCCTTAAGGGTTCCTTTCTGGCGGTTCCTGATAACTGGGGCAGATCAGAACCAGGAGTTAAAAATGTGGTGCACCGTGTCTTGGACTTGTTTACAGACCATCAGGTTTTTACTCTCCTCCATTACTATGACTAAAAAAAAAAGTTTAATGCCTCAGATGTGATGTTGTAGGATGATAACTGTAAAGCCTGATTAATATATTTTACAATCATATATTTTATATGAAAAATCACACTGCAAAGAAGTGATGGCTGATCTCTCTTCCCCTCTCACAATCATCTCACAGACCTCTGTGATCAAGAGATCTCTTTGGTCAGTTTCATACAGGATGATAACTTATCTCCAACATTATCCAAACATAACCTCCTCTGAGGCACGTAAGGTGTTCAGCTTATGTTACCATGGTGATCTACCCCAGTAAGCCACATTTTTAGCTGGTAGTACTGACAAATACCTGTTAACCCTGAATTAACATAATTATCCGAACAGCATGGCACTTGTTGCCAGTGGTAACGGTCATTTCAAATACCTGTATAGATAATCTGTTTATCGATGGTGTCAGTTGCTTTTACAAGTCATGTAATTCCATCACTATAGCCCCATTTCCACCAAGCGGTCCTGTTTGGTTCAGTACAGTTTGATACGTTAAACCCTGATCTCCTGTGTTTCCACAGCCAACCATTTTAATTCGTATGCAGAGTGTAGCTTGATGACGATTGCCGTGTCAGCTATGTAATAGCATGACATCATGGCAGCGTGACAGTGTAGCCCGTCAATAAACTATTCCTTTCAAAAGTATTTTTATTGAAAGCTATCTTATTATTTGTTATTAGTGTTGATGCAGCAGAATTAAAGATCATAATAGCTGTGTTTTTGTTTTCCTTCAGATTTTCCCCAGATCTGTTCAACTCATCAGTTCTGCCAGGTCTCAAGGCCAGTCTCGACCTCTCTGCTGAGTATCTCATCCTCACTGATGTACAGAGGAAGGTCAGTTCATACCATGTGCTTTATTTGAGTAATGTTCACTGATATTTATGTTAACAAACTTTGCTTTAGAACCTGTTTCATCGTTTAAACATTTTTTTCAATTTTAACAATTCTGTATCTATCTGTCACTTTCCCACACAATTGACTTTTTAATTCTGGAGGTTAACACTAATAACTGAGATTGAAACTCAAACAGAGAATTTGGTTTAATTTGGTTTAAAAGGCAACCCTCTTGAATTTGGGATAGTCTGTCAGCGATTGGGGCATCATGCTTTTGATGAACTTGACTTGGTGTCTGGACCAAATCATTTCCTCTGCCCCACACATGGCCACACTGATCCTTGATTTCATTTATTGACAGGTTTTGTATGTAATGGAGCTGAGACAGGACCTAGAGAAAGGCAAGGCCACTTTCACAGCCGTGTCAGAGTTTCTGCTGACCCACCCTGTGCTTAGCTTCGGGGTCCGAGATGTTGCGCAAAGCCGATTGCGGCACACTGAGGTCCTCCCTGCAGAGGAGGAGAGTGAGAGCCTGACAACAGGTGCACATGTACAATTACACACATACACACTGCATCAAAAACACATCCAAGTCATTTTAAGTCTGTAGTCCTTTGAACATGTAAGCTTTTTTTTATTTTTTATTTGCTTTGTCATGTAGATGTTCAAAGGGCCACTTCACACTGGGGTATTTTTGAACAGCCTTTATTTATACAGCATTTCATTTTGTGTGTGTGGTTTGCTTTTCCCTCCAGAGGGCATTCCTGGACCTACGGAGTCAAAATCGGGAATCCAAATTAAACTCTACTGTGTTCACACCAAGTAAGTCCTCTCTGTGTCTGATGGCTCGAATAGAGTAAAGCATAAAAGAGCTTGTGTGAAACATCAAGATTTATTGGCAGCGTTACATTTTTTCCCCCACACAGCTAGCCACAGAAATGTTCATGTTAACAGTTTGGAGCAGCCACACAGCCTGTGTGAGCACACAGCTCAGGCACTGCTAGAGAATAGGGCGCTCACCAATTTTTGATACAAGCTGAAAAGATTTTGTGGGTAGTAATATAAACACTTCAAGTTCTTCAACAATTGCCTTCTTCTTTCATTTCATTTCAGATGTATGTTCAATCTAATATGAATAAATCAAGAATCAAATTCAATAAAAACATCAATTTATCTTGTCTCCAAAATAAATAGAAAGGCAATGTTCACCAGTCTTATTGATTTGTCTTTTCAGGAGTCTGCAGGATGTCCAGATTTGGTTTCAACCCAACTTGGATTACAGCTCCACAGTCTTCCTGCCTCATTCTGATTCTCAGGATGGCTTTGGTAAGTTCACTGGTTGGCTTAGTTTACAGCAACAAATTTTGGTTAGAATGGATGTTACACTTTACTCTTACTTGTTAAGATGAACCTTATGTCCCTGAAACCAAACAAAGACAGAACTCGAATTACAAAGTAACTAGTTTCAATGTTGGGTTGAGTGTGGATGATACACCCAAACTTAAGACAGAACTTACACAGCTGATGCAACAGCCACTTTTCTTAACCCTGTGGTGTTAAGTGCATGTTGATTAGGCTTGGGTGGTATCACTGTATTAAGGTATGCCAGGGTATTTCGAAATCCAGACTGTATGAATTTTAATACAGCTAAAAATACAAACGCCACTTTTTCTATTAAACTGAGGCACATATAATGTATTGAGGTGAACAGTTGTAGTGCACAGCATGCCCCAGCAGGGGTCAGGTTCTATGTAGACCCTTGATATGCTGGCCACTATGACTGTACTGTTGACAGGAGAGTGGAGGAGGGAGAGAGAGAGAGAGAGAGTGTAAAGAGAAGCGTGAGATCAGCAGGCCCCTAGGAAAAAGTCAACCATGGCAAGTCTACTGGCAAGGAGAGCGGTACTGAGACACGTCACTATTACAGAGCTGGTGAGAGCAGATCTGGTGGCACACCTGCCGAAGGATGTCATCAATACAGAGGCAAACCCTGCAACACTCCCAACTATAACCAGACAAAGTAAAAAACCTTGATGATTAGAGTGTTCAGTTGCATTATGTTATTTGAAACAGAAGTTGTAGGTGTCCTTAATTGATGGAAAAACAAAATAGAAAAGAAATTAACTTATGACAACAGGAAATTTAGCTATAGCAAAACCTTGGTCGGTAACCAGGTATTTATAATTGTGAATGTTATCGGTACAACAGAAGATTTATATATTTATTTTAACTACCGTCATATACCCTATACCACGGTATAATGGCAAGACGGTATGATTGTATGAGGAAATTTGATACCGCGCAAGCTTAATGTTGATACTACTCGACATGTTTCAATAGCATTTCGTCTTACCTCTTTTAATTCTCTGTGCCTCGCAGGGTTTTCAGAACATCTAACTGACCAGAGCTCTGACAAGGAATCAGACGGTGGCTCACAGACTGACCTGAGAAAGATCCCATCACTCCCCGCTCCTGCTGACTTCTTGTCAAACTCGGGTAACAGCAGTGTGACAATGCACAAGCTGATGACTCCTGATGCCTTCATGACACCCAGCACTTCAGTAAGAAAACTTCAGAACTGTGCTTACTGTTACCCCATTTTTTTGTTCAAATAACACTGATTGTCTGGTTGATGTCTGAGTATCTTTGTTTGGTATCTGTTATAAAACTCAAGTGAAACAAATAACTTTCATAAGCCTAAATGAAAGATCTGCTGTATCAGTGCCCTTTTTTTACCTCTCAGACAGCCAAGCAGGTCCTTAGTTTTGTTCATGTAAACTAAATGGAACAGAGATGATAGTTAGATGAAAATCTTTAATACCAAACCCCCTTCTTTCTCATGATGTGACATATCACAGCTATCTGAAAGTGGCTTTCATTTTGTTTAGTCTGGGAAATCATGTGATCTACTGGGAGATTAGAGCTGATTTTTGACTTTCACCCTCCAGGTACCAGCATCCCCCGGCAGCAGTGCGAGCAGTCTCACAATCGTGACGGCTATCAGCAGCAATTCTGACTCAACCAACAGGTTGGTAATCAGGCAAAGTGATAAGTTAGAAGCTGCATCTGATTATCACAAATGTAAACATTTCCTTATAATCTCCTGTATAGCTGGTCACATATGAACATGTAGCCCTGACTAGAATATGTCTATGTTAATGTCTGCAGAGCTATTGATGATGTCAGTCAGAGTCCTAACAGAGCTGATAACAACGGCAGCAATAGTCTGGCACTCTCGACCTCCGCCAACAGCCCAAAAGCTGCATCTGCTGTGCTGCTGCCTGGACTGGAGAATTTACAGGTAGGACCTGATACACTCTCCAAACTCAACAAGATATTATATCTTCTTGTTTTCATAACTCTGCTTATCTCCATTTTAGGCTTTGGTTCCCCTTAGTGGTTCTATGGCATTTGACAGCCCTCAGGTTCTGGACTCTCCCCTCTTGCCACCTCTGGCCTCCCCGACCAGGGCTCGCTCCCCTGATGTCATCTCTTCAGCCTCAACAGTCATGTCACAGGACATGCCTGAGATTGCATCCCAGACGCTGCAGCTTCAGCGTGGACTGGTGTCCAGCTTGGAATCCTCACCTCTCTCGGCCCTACAGACAGACAGCATGGCCTCTGCTGCATCTGCCCTGCACCTACTCACCTCACCACGCACAGGCAACAATAACAGGTACCTTGATGAGAAGTGGTGATTATGTAATATTAGCAAATATTGTGCCTTCATGATCACAGTGAATAAAAATCAATTCCAGATATTAAGTACTTATACAAAATCCCCTGGAATTTAAGTTTACCAAAGTTCTAGGGGAATACCTTGCAAAAACACCAGCATTGACCTTTAAATGAACAAAACTGTTGTATGTTCCGTCTCAGCCTGTTGCCCCGAGAGCTTGGTGGTGGAGACGGGCCAGTGGGCGGGTTAATGGAGTCAGAACCAAGACTCAGCCACACTCCATCTCTACTCGAGAATGCTTTATCCCAGGAGAATGCTGGGGCTGGAGTAGGATCAGCAGATGGTAGTATAAGCCACACACCGTGGCCTGCCGCACCTGACATCACCAGGGAAACCAGAAACAGCCTCAGGGACAATGGTCTTGGAGACTGGTAAGAATTCTCCCATAACACCGAAAAATCATTAACAGCCACATGAAGGATTTTGGAATATTCTGAATCCGAAGTACAACTTGTAATCCTAATCATGTTGAGGCGAATGAGTAATTACAAATTATTGATGATGAACTTTGTTCTTTTTTAATACAATCTTTTATCATAAAATATATTGAACTCCTGGAGTAAGACACACATTACCATAAACACGTAGTTGCACAAGGCTTGCAAGCATGAAGTAGAACGATGGGTCGTTTATTGATACATTTTTTGATCTGTGTTTCTGATTAACACATTTGTTTGACATGTCCACTGTGTTGTAGTTCAAGAGATCAAGAATCAAAAGACAGACATTTGAGCTCACCTTATCATCGACGCTCCTATCACCTCACACACAATGACAGTCTGGATGCCGGCCCTGAGCAGAGGTGAAACAAATGAAATTACCTTTTTTTTTGGCACGTTTTGTTAATCAAATAAAACAAAACAAAAATGTTTTGATTTAATTAGCTTTCTCTTTTCCGTGAGTGAAGTGCTTTGTTCATGTACTAAGCGACATAACAATCTACAGAACACTACAGCTGTCTCATACTGTATATCTGTACGTTTCTGTGTTTGACCCAGTGACCCTGATGATGAGGTAGCCAGCTTTGCGTCATCCTCAGGGAATCGCTCTTCTCACAGACTTCCTGTTAAGGACTGGAAGAGCTCACCACGAGGCTCGCCAAAACCAAAGAGGAAGACCAAGAAAGATGACAGGTTTGTCAGAAGTTTGTCACTAAGGCCTTATTTGGTCATATTGGCCATCCTTTGACTCGATTCAATATAGTTTAAGTCCAGCTAAGGTAGTTCGGTTGGTAATTCATAATCCAGGCGAATTAATGTACTTGTAGATCTAGATATTTGTATTGATAGTTTTTAGTGTATTATTGACTACAGCTTATTGGCCAACTCCAAGTCTTGGTACCATCAACAAATATAATATTGTAATGTTTTTTTTTTTGTTTTTTTTTAAATGTGTCTATAACTACAGACAAGGACATAATACATGATGATACATTCTTGTGTAATTATTTAGAGTATTATAGTCAAATTTATTGGCCTATTTTCTCTCCTCTCTGTTCAGTGATTCACCTAAGTCCAGGCAAATGGATTCTAGCCAGGTAAGAGGTTTACAACACGTCTCATTTTCGTAAGCTGTCTTTGTATCCATTAACTGATAAATGCAAGAAAACATTACGTGATCCATTGTGAATTTTTCTGTTATTATTTTGAAAATATATCGTACCTACAATTACCCAGTTTATTTTGGGCTACGAGGAAACATCACATTTCTCAACAAACGGTCAGAAACTTAACGACAGCTTAATTGAATCAGAATCCGTTTTTATAGTCGTACATTTACACATACGAGGAATTTGACTTGGTGTTTTGGTGCAAAACCAGAATTGTCTTAGTTCAATGATAACTTAACTTTCCCAATGTCTTCCTTGTTTACCTTTCTTCAATCATTCTCTAAACCTCCCCAAAGGTGAATGCAGAAGTACAGGACGAGTTATTGATGCTCCTGCGTGGCCAGCAAAGGGAGTTAACTGAACTGCGTGGACAAATTGAAGCAATGCAGAGCTCGATTATGGCCCAGGTAGAGCATGTCCTGACCACCCACCAGGAACAAGAACGTATCCTTCAGTCTGTTCTTCCTCGTGAAACTTTTGAAAGCCTTTTTCTTTTTCTTTTTCATTCTTAACACTTACATTTTTTTTCCTGATAAAACTCTGCAACTTGTGTCTGCTGAACAACTGTGCTTCAAGTGTTAAGCAGTCGAGTAGCAATCTGGGTATTCTTTTTTTTTTTTCACACAGCCTGGATGTAACTTACAAACCTCAAGCTACCATGCATCATTCATATACAGCCAAAACTACTTTATCACATCTCTTATTTAATCCTAAAGAGTTGCATAAATGTTGGACTTGATGATTCTTTCTTATGAGCCTTGACCTTCCATGGGCTTAGAGCGCAGACTAGAGCGAGTTCTGGCAGAGAATCAGAATCATCAGCAGCAGCTTCAGGAACAACTCAGCCAGCATGTCAGCCATGCCCTCAGCTCAGCACTGACCAACAGAATGGACAAAGTACTACGAGAGGAAATGAAGAAAACAGTCCCACAAAGTAAGTCAACACACACACAAAAGAATGTAATTGTCATCTAAATCAGCAAAAAACAAAAAATGAGTTAAAGGCAACAGAGCACAGAGAGTGAGCTGTTTGTGTAAGTTCAGCTAAACTTACCAGATGATGGTGGTATTGCACCATTTCACTCTCTTCCAGATACAGAGAACAATGATTCTCATGATAGCATTATTTTTGTAATGTTTGTAAGAGTACTTTTTTTTCTTTCTTTTTTTTGTTAGCAGTTATGGGTGTCAACCTTTTGGCACTAATGTGTTGCCAAATGAAAAGTGCAGACACAACTGTGTTGGTTGTATTTTCTTTTTTTTTTTTAAGATGGTATCTAAAATGTATCAAAGTATAAATCATTTTGATAAACTTTCTCAGCAATGCTTTCTGTTGCATAAATCACCCCAGTGTCACTTTTCTTAAGCATGCTGTCTTTGACTTTCTTTAGACTTTCTCTAGACTAGCAAAAATACACAAATTGTAGAGAAAACGTTAACGTATATACCCATTTTTATCTGTTGCATCCAAGGTTATTTCACAGTCTGCAACTTTAATCTGGTCCAGACTCCAGACTGTATACCTGAGCAAGATGTTTTTATTGTAGAACTTTGTATTGTATTCACAGTTTCCTAAGTGCAAAGAGTTGCTCCTAGTGACAAAATCCTAAGATCTAAGACATTATTAGAATCATGACATTTTCTAAGAATTTCCCAAGTAAGGACTGGATCCTTGTAAAGATCAAAATTATTCACATAGCAGAGCTTTGTGTAACGGTGAGGAGTTTTTTTGATGAGAAAAATAGAGAAATGTTCTCCAAACACTGAATGAAGAATATTCAAAGTATGAGGCGTGCATGGCGAGTCCCTCTAGATGTGGTTTCCTCCCGACTGCATCTAATCACTGATTAAAGGCCCTTCACATGCTGGAGTAACTATCAGTATCTAATGCATTTCATTGTCTGTCCTTCCATGTATATTATCACCAAGAGAGCACCTTTTTCTCAATTTTGGATCAACCAATCACAGCTTCTGAAAAAATGTCATGTCTAGCAACGAGGTCAACCTATCTAAGCGTATTGCATTATGTGGGGAATTTTTTTTTTTGCCTGATTTCTTGTTATTACCATAATAATGTAATTATATACAGTATATTACATTATATATTATATTGTATTACATAATATACATTACATAATATAATAACAAGATCTTTATCTCGTTATAACGAGATAAAGATCCCGTTATTACGAGAAAATACACACATTACAAAGCCTAAAAAGATACTAGAGGCTTAATGAAGTTTGCATCGTGGCAGGCAGAGGAGAGAGGAAGATCAAAAGGCAACGATGACCAGCGTTATTAATTTGATTGTTTTTTATTTCCACCTTGGTTTACGGCATTTGGAAATATTATCATCTTTGAGTAATACAGGTGGTATTCTCATGAGCTTATCGACCTAGCGCAGGTATCTGAAGGCGTTCAGACGGAAAGCAAAGCACACTCTGACCTACATGACATAGCAGGATCAGTTAAATAGATATGGTATGCTTCACTGATATAAAGTCATGCATCTGAATTGCATTCAAGCTGGCTCCGTGGTGTCTCAAGATACGCTTAGGCATTTACTGAAAATACTTTCACCCCATGAAAAACAACTGCGTTGCCGGAATCGCCTGCTACGGTGTTTATACTGAAAAATGTTGTAATGAGCTGCCAAGATCTTTATCACGTAATAATGAGATCTTTATCTCGTAATAACAAGAAACCAGGCAAAAAATGAATGCAATACGCTTCCCTACAACCACACGTCCTCATTAAGATAGAAGTTTCTGTCCCTTCTTCGCTCAGAGTTGCTCTAAGGAGAATGTTTCAAAATCGCTCTGCTGCTATGACTCCTGGTTAGGAATTTTAAGGCTACATTTGGAGCTCTCTTGAGAGTTATCTCAAAATTTTAACTTAACAGGATAGAGCAAATACATAGCCTGTCTTAGCAGCAGAGCTCAGGTGTGGTTTGAGCACTGCTGCGGTGCAATGCATCCTCAGAGTAGGAGTCTGACATAGCTTTTTTGCAAGCCATGCATAGTTCTCTGCAGAAAAGGGGCATGTATGGATAGATGTATTGTCACACTACCAGCAAATGTACACTCGTCATTATGGTTGAGTGGTTATATTTATAAAAAATGTCACACAAAAAAAGCAAAACTGTATGTGTATATTTTTGGATTTCCGTCTGAACTTAATGTAAATAAAATAACATGAAATGACGTAAAATATTTTTAATATTTCCATTATCAAAGACAAGTGCTACGAGATATGGCACAGCATCAGCCCTGTGGCAGCACTGCAGCTTAAATGTTGCCTGTTTTGACAATGCAGCAGTGCAAGCCACATCAGTGCTGTGAGGCAGCCGCCATGCTCAGAGATGCGTCATAGTGCTTTGTATTCTCTTTTTGCTTTTTTAAACATAAGTACAACTGTTTTTTTTTTTTAAACAGTTCTCTTTCTTAGAATAAACTCCAAAATAGCTTTCTTGGTGTTTTTGTTGTTTAGACATTTTTTTGGCAAAGCAATTTCATCCGCAGAGTAACTCATATTCAAGGTGATCACCATTGATGTTGTCAGTTTATCATCACATATCCTTGCTGTGAACCTAAATGTTCATCAAGCCCTTATCTATCATTCGTATTCCAGTGCTCTCTTTTTGCCGACTACCTTAGTGATAAAAAAGATACTTGAAATACCTCAAAACTATTTATCGAGGTTCCTTTTTATATTCTGAGGTCCTGGGTTGCTACTGCACTAAAAATACTGTCTTAATGTAACTACTGGCTGAAAAACTGAACAGCATTAGCAGTTGCACAACATCTAATGTGGCTCAATTATTATAAAGCTGTTAGTCTCTGAATAGGGACCGTTTCTTTATTGCAAGATCAATGCATCCCTGATCTATGTCAGCTGTAAACATTAGCTCCTTTTAGATTGAGATTCTGCAACAGTGCCATAATGAAGTTCAGCCTTCATTACGCCTCTGTACTTAGACCTTGCTTCTGCAATGGCATCGTTTTTGTGTCCAAGTGTGTATTATACATTGTGTTATGGCACTGCCGGAGCACGAGAGGCACGACTTGTAGACACAGCAGGAGCTTCACATACACACTGAGGCATGCACACACACAAGCTCTGTTCTGCCCTGCCCGCTCCAAAAATATGCATTGCCCCAGTTTGGAACAGCTTTGTGTTATTGGCAGGCTCAATTTTAATAAATCTGGTCTACTTACTGTGATTTATTTTATTTTACTTACGTATTGTCTTATTAAAGTTATTGACATTATCTCGAATGAGCAATATGTAAGCCTGGCCTGTAGTGATTAAAATGGGTACTGAAGTCCAAATTCAAGACATTGGAGAGAGCTGTCTCCCCCGCCAACTCTTCACTAGAGCTGATGCAGACACCAACACGGGAGCTTCAGTGAAACCTTTCTGCGTTCTAACCTTTCTCCCTTTTCCAAAAGCATCTCCAATATTTATCCTAGTTTAATAAATCTAAAATCTGCTGGAATCTAAACTTAGAAGCACATACTGGCAGCATAATTTTCAGAAAAACCAACACTTCAACATAGCATGTTTCCTTAATGTCTGATGATATAGTAAGGACCTTGTATGTTTGAATTCATTAAATATCTTACACATTGCTCCTTGAAGAAAAAGTTTTAGAAATAATAAAAGCAGCTGAGGTGCTCTGTCTGCTGTGACACTGTAATCAAGCAGCCTTTTGAGACATATTGTCTTACCTTTTCTCTCTTCAGCTCTAATGTGATGACACAATAGGTCCCTGTCTTTTTTTCTTTCTTGCCTTGATCCCATGTCAGGGGAACTCTTGCTAATCTATTTTGCTCTTTCTTTCCTATTTTAAGCAATTTCTAAGAGTCTGGAGCCAGTGACCGGTCAGCTTAGCAATACAATTGCTGCTAAGCTCACTGCTGTCGAGGTCAGCCTAAAGGAAAATGTCAGCAAGGTGGTCAAATCCAAGGTAAGTGGCTGGCTTGTGATTCTGTCCTTCGCTAAACACAAACCATCACATACCCTGAATGTATCTACTTCTTCTTTATAGAACACAACAGATGCAATTGGTCGAGCTGCAGCTGAAGCCATGCAGGGGCCCATACAGGCCGCCTATAAAGACGCCTTCCAGAGCATCGTGCTGCCTGTCTTTGAAAGAGGTTGCCAGTCCATGTTTCAACAAATCAACGACAGCTTCAAACAAGGCACACAAGAATGTGAGCTAATCAATATTTTTGTGTCCAGACACAGAGGTTTTTGAATAGTAATCCTGATTCTTTTCCTCTGATCGATGTTTGTTGTTAATAGACTTTGATTTGGTATTTTCATCACCTTTGTGGTTTCCTGTCTTTAGCCCTGAAATCAGGGTCTGTTTATCTGAAAGTCTTGTGAAATAACTATCTCTTTAAAAATGTCAGGGAAAGCTTTGTCAACGATTCCCTTTCAGACTGAGCTAGTTAAAAGAATCAACTAGTTCAATAGAATCCTTTCTGAGGTTGTGGCCATGCCTACAACTGGAAGCAGACAGCCAGAAGCTTTTTAAAATTTGACTAAGGCTGACAGAGTATGTACAGGTTGTTGTAGCTAATTTAGATGCAAGAATGCATCTCTTAGCATGTGTGCTCTTGCAAGTTTTGCTCAAATTTAAATTTGATTAATCATCAAATTGGTTTGCTGTTGGTTGGCAAAATATGACTACAACTTTGTGAGTTATCAATTAACCTTTATACTGGCATCTAGCTTCTTTGCAGGGCTTTATCTCTGCCAAATATGCCCCCAGATGATTCTATGTTCAACATTAAATTGTTGGGTTGATAGGCTTAGCTAAAAAGGCTACTCTGTAAACCTTGAATTTGCTCAGGTGTGCAGTTCATCTATCCAATCCCTATAACTAACCTTACAGGACCCAACTGAATTCATAATTTACATTGGCAGCCCACCATTAATGTGTTTCAGGCATGACTGTAACTCCACTAAAAGTCAGTTTTTAATTGTGGATTGGTCTTCCATCTCATGTGAGAACATTTGTGTATTAAACTACTATCAGAGCCCAAAGAATGTGCCGTTGATGTGTTACGAGAATGCAAATTAGTTTGGATTCTAATGAGCAGGCAGTGATATCAGTGTTTGAATGTGTGGACAGCTGAATGTTGACCTGTGATAGATACATGCACTACATTACACTACAGTGTAAAGAGCTTATAGTAGTCGAAAGACGAAAATGGCAAATAAAGAGTCATTTCTGTCCATTTACCTTTTGTTTTCAAAATTAATGATTCTGTTTCCATCCACTGAGCTGGGTGGTTAAGACAAAATAAGGCAAACCAGAAGCCTTCAAAACATAATGACCTGCTAGTTTTTTTGTTTTTTCCGACCATATTTTGGTTTTACAGTGATACGTGTTTCCTATTGTTATGGCACAATGTAGTAAAGCCTCAGAGCTCTTTCACATTAAGAGAGATTTATAAAGTAGTTTTTGTGTTTCAGAGCTTCCTTGCTGGTCGTCAAATCAGTGGGATTGTCATTACAGCAGCCCTTCCTCCTTTTTAGATTGCTTAATTTAGTTTTCAAGGTATTTATGATAGGTGTGTAGAGCTTTGGAACCTGATTTTTTTCTCTTTTTTTGCTGACTTTCATTTTTATAGACATCCAACAGCTTGAGAGCCATATGAAGAGCAGAAAGCAGAGAGAGCAGGAGACAAGAGACCCTGTGATTGGCCAACTCCAGCAGATGATGGATAGCTTCCAAAGCTCCAATGATCAGCTGACCAATACCATCACAGCTAACGTCCGGGCAGAGGTCCAGCACCAGACCCAGATGATGGTGGGAAAGTATGTACAACTGCAACTACTACATTTTCAGCAAGATTTTTTTAAATAAAATGTTTCTGCATAGAAATGTCATAATGCCCCGATCCCCAAGTCTTGACAGGTGTTCTCATGAAAAGCACTGTTTTTTCCAAGGAGAGTTCTCAAATTCCTCATTTGTAACTGAAATAACGAAATTAAACCCAATGTGGTGGCTGTGCTGTATCATAGCAAGTCCAATGAAAACGTGCTGCCAAAACTGCCTAAGATGAAGAAAAGTGACAAGAGAAGGAGTAAAAGGTTTCCGACAGCAAATGTAATACGCAAATCTTCGATACATCATTGAACCGTTCGAGAGATCGTTTGTATGAGACAGCTATCATAATTTTTCATTGCAAAAAGAGCCTTCAGACTGCAGTGTAGATAATCACTTCACTTAGGCCCCTTGTCCACTTTTTTTCTGAGCGGCAGCATCTTTTTTCAGTTGTTTTCAATGAGGAGAGAGCGTTTGCAGCTGCAGGCCTGGAGAAAAAGTGCAGCGCCCAGCGTCCCCCCCCCGATGTTCACGTCACCGCCGCTCTTTTCAAAATATATAATATTTCCCGTAATTTTGCCGCCTACGGATTGTGTCTTGTACACACATCCTCCTTGCTCCGTGTCTGATCGGGAACTAAACAATCTCAAATAAAAAACAAACAAGTAACGGAGCAGTGTCGATCAGCGGCAGTTGTCAACAGACTGTTGTCATAGAGACAGGATGGATGTGCAGCGCTTTTCTACTTAGCCCACAAATGCTTCATGCAAGCGCTCCTTGGCGCACAGCCAGCGCTTTCCTGCCTGGAAAAAACGCTAGGTGGCCACAGGGCCTCAGGGTTGTTTCACATTATGGACCCCGGCACAGGTCAGAGTACACTTGACCCCAAAATTTCATTTCATTTGATCAGTGTGAACACAACCGTACCGTACTCGATTACCGTCCCCGAGTCCGCTTGAAGAGGTGGTTAAAGGCATGATTCATGTGTACCCGAGTACGGTCCGTGCTGGTCAGGGGGGAGGAAATGGGAGAGAGCAATCGTGGTGGGTCACAGTACGAAACCATCGTACCAAATATGAAAACGCCCTAAAAGACCAAAGTCTCTCTCTTTACCAGCAGGACTGTTAAAACATTTGATTATTGTTATTTAATATTCATTGCCCTCACAAATTAATATAATACATTTCTTGTAAAAAGTGTTTGGTTTAGCCAGTACACACTATACACATGCAGGTACAGTAGGTTGTCATGGTAAGGAGGATATGACCTCCACCTCATTTTGAGCTAAGAAAAACCCTGTACTAGTATTATTATTATTATTATTATTATATTTTATATATTGTCCCATTTCAACTGTCCTTACCCTTGATTAAGCTACATGTACACATTTTCCTTAATATGATCGAGCTTTAAGTAGACTACACATTATGTGACTGTTTTCATCAAAGTAACAAGGAACAGATTTAATACTAAGATTTAATACTAAACTTAATTTAAAATAACTCAACCTTTCCCCCACTTAAATGAATTGTAATGATCAATTAAAACAAATAATCATGCTGTTACTGTTTCTTGCCGTGATTGATTTGATGTATGGATTGACACACCAAGCAGATATTTAGAATTAAAGATATGCATATCAGCAGATGCCTGTGCCAGAAGCCCTGGCCTTATTCACTGTCTATTGAACAGATGCGTAATGGATTGGAGAGTAGAAAGTGGCAAAGCTTAATCCTGGGGCTAATGTAAGAACATAAATTCGATCGGGTCTCTTGTTCCCTCTGCAATTAATTTCATGGCCCCTAGAGTTTATAGATTGGTCTTGGGCGGCGCAGAGAGAAGTTGTTGGCTATCTGAAACTTTAAAATCTCATAAAGGAAATTACAACACTATACTGTACAATTTAACTTTAAGATGAAATATAATAGCATGTATGCCATGTTAAAGTTAGACTCAGAGACATGACTCAATAACTAAATGTAATTGAATTGTTAAATCCTAAAAACTTTATTTTGTAGCACATATTATAGCATGGTTTGATTACTGACTTAATCAGACTACTACAGTACAGAAAATGGATTTCCAGTGGCCTGGTGGTTGTTGGCCGCTCCCCATGTGCAGAGGCTGTAGTTCCCCAGACGGGCCCCCCGGTTGGTGTCGGAATGCGGCTCCTTCCTGCAAATCATACCTCACTCTCTCTGTCCCTGATATCTTGTCTCTACTATAAAGGCATACAAAGCCCTAAAATAAATCGGTGTTAGCTCTGAGATTTATTACACGATAAATTCAAACCCAATAATTGAATCATACATGTCCTGCCCATTAAAGTGCAACTGCTCGGCCTTCATGCTTGTGTGTGCTGTTCTAGGCTGCACATCCATCGGTGAAGCTGACAGCTTTTCTTTTGCTGGATTTGGAGAAACAGTGGGCTGAGTTTTGGTGAGCTATGTCGGCATCGTGCAAAAGCTCTCCCACATCTACTGCGCTCGTTACCCCTATTACAGGTTCACCAGTATTGTCTTAATGCTTTATTTGCCAAACTGCTGTGTCTAACTGTTGGAGTGCTGCCCAGCTTCCTGGCATGTCAGATTCTCTGTGACTGCCCACTGAAAGCCAACAGTTTGGCTAGAGTCGCGATGCCCACCTCCGCTGGTCACTCGTCTTGAATTAAAGTTTCTATTCAAACAAACCAACATTCCACAAAGTCTATCCCAGACAGTATTTCACGGTTTCTTAGTGTGAATATGACAATAACAAGGAGAAAAGGCATTAAAAGTGGCGGTGCTAGCTCTGTTAGCGTGGCCAGGTATCCCAGGATGCTTTGAGCAGCGAGTTGGACGGTTGTAAAGCTTAAAGAATGGGGTTACATTTTGATTGACATATGTGAGCTGCCACGCCCACACAGTCCTGAGAAATGAACTAAACTGCAAAATAAGCTCTTTTTGAATTGGGTTTTCTAATAATTTTGAATGTTTCTTTTCAATCAGATTTTTGTGGATGCTTAATCATGCATTACATTTTGATATCACATATATATTTTTAATATTTCAGGTCAGGTTTCCAGGGGCTTTAAGAAAATACAACAAGAAAGAAATATGTAATGTTAGCGTTGTATAAAAAAAAAAGGATAATCCTGTATCTCTTGACATTTTTCCCATTCTTTTCTTCCCTAGTTTGCAGGAGTCCATTCTTAGCCATGTGCAGCGGATTGTCAAAGGGGAAGTGAGCCTGGCAATGAAAGAGCAGCAGGCAGTGGTAACCTCTAGCATCATGCAGGCAATGAGGTCAGCCGCCGGCACACCCGTCCCAACAGCGCATCTCGACTACCAGACACAGCAGGCCAACATCCTGCAGCTCCTCCAGCAGGGCCAGCTCAACCAGGCTTTCCAGCAGGTAACACACACACACACACACACACACACACACACACACACACACACACACACACACACACACACACACTCAGATTAAGAGATTGCGTGTGCAATAAGTGACTTTCATGTTGAAGATACAAAAATGGTATGAATGCAGTTGAGAGATCTAGGGATCTTTTAATATTGAATACTGGTTATTGACTTCAATAAATAAAACAGAGTGATACCCACACTGATAAAATGGAGAGATTGAGTGACGCTTGTCATAGGAGGGTATAATATGGTACTTTTTTTTTTTTTGCGCATGTCCCCAACTGCATAAACCAAGATTCAACAGGCTCAAACTCTCACTGCACTTAAACGTGCTGAGAACAGTAGTAGTAGCAGTAACATGACCGACCTTTTCCCTTGCCCCCCATAACTTTTCTAAACGTTGCTTAGTGCTGTGCTCATGATGGATTCATGTTGGGTCTTTGTAGATAATTTTACAAAGAGTAAGGTCTTTCACCTTTTCACCTTTTGTGAAGTGTCTTGAGATAAAATTTGTTACAAATTTGTGCTATACAAATCAAGATTGATTGATTGACTAGGAAAGCTGGTTAGCTCCTCTGCTAGAAGGAAGTACATTGTTGCCATCATTGATGGTTTACTTCTTTCTTTAAATAGTAAATAGACTGCACTTATGGAGTGAGGGGCCTAAAAAAGAAAAAAATCTAAGTGATTTACATTGCATGTCACATGTTCCCTTTTCAATCACATTCACATGCTGATGGTATAGGAGCAGTTTGGTGTTCAATGTATTCCAAAGGACACTAAAATATGCTTCTGCAGGTAAAAACATTTTGAAACTTGAGCTTTGCTGTGCATACATTCATGATTGCAATGCAATGTAATCTCTTACTCTTCCCTCAGGCTCTGTCAGCGACGGATCTGAACTTGGTCTTATATGTATGTGAGACCATTGACTCTCAGCAGGTGTTTGGGCAGCACCCCTGTCCTCTGAGCCAGCCCGTGCTGCTGTCACTCATCCAGCAGCTTTCCTCCAATCTATCAACCCGCTCTGAGCTCAAAATCAGGTGAGGAAACTTTCCACATCTGGTACAGTGTGTTTTTATTTTTTTTATCTTTCATCAAAAACGCACCATCTTGCCTACTTAAATATTTGAGACTTAAATATCAATGCTTTAAAATTAATGTTTAGAAATAATATTAAGATGTTTAAAAGATGAATTTGGATTTTTTTTTTATGCAAAGTTTTAAAAATTACGGTAAACAAAATGTAAGCTTGAAATTGTTGGTGATTTTTCTTATTTATAAAGGAGCAGCCATGACAACATGTGATATCAGAGAAAAGTGAATAAATATCACCTTCCTTCAACTCTAACAGAAGTTAGAAATAGCTTTAATGAAACAACAGCAGTTTTGGGAAGTGCACCACTTTTTTATTGTGCAGCCTCAGTCTTTGTATCGATCATTTCTACATTTAAAATAATAATATAGAGGACTTATTAGTGTTGCTACAAGTATTTTAATATTTGAGATATTACCTAGCCCTAGAACACTTGGTTACGGTATGTCAGACTCAATTTTGGACCTGGAACAATAACTTATTTTTGTTAATTTGTGATTACTTTTATAGTATATGTTTATGCAATTTGAAAAATATAAAAAATGAGGATAAGAAAAAGGGTAAAGTGCAGAAGCTTGCATCTTCTCCAAATGTCCTGCTTTAGATTTTTACACACCTGTTCTGCGGAGGCTGGCTTTTGTTCAGTCACTGATTGGTTGTAAAGCCAGTTTTAGCCACTTGTGCTCCTTGTCTCATATCCATTGTAAGTCCATTATTCCTGTCTCCTGAGCACTAAGCGGTGCTAAACTGCTGACCCTATCGCCCTGCTCCGTCTGTAGCCCTGCAACATGGCTGCCCTGGGACTGCAGATTATTCTGTGAATAGCATTGCAGATTTTAGAAGCTCTCTATCATTCTATCCCATGTATGTCCTTGTAGCTTTGATTCACTCTTGCTTTCCTGCCCTGATTTTCTGTTCTTTTTACATTATATGTTGGGTTTTTCTTCAAGATGTACAGATGAGTTCCCTCAGAGAGCCCCCCCTCTCCCTTACTGTGTCCTTGGGCAAGACACCTAACCCCGAATTTGCTTCATCGGGAGTCGTATGAGAAAAAAAAAAACTACAATAAAAGACTGATTGCTTTAATATTAACAATGACAACGAAATGGGGAGGACTGATAACGTTGACTTTAGCATTTGAAGTTGAGCAGCTCTTAGATTGACAGGGGCCAGCTGGCTATGTGAGAACTGCTCTAATGTTTTGCACTGCTGGACAGTCTGACCAGCAGAATCCTGACTTAAACACTGAATTAAAGAGTTGAAAGATGTAGGCCAGTGAGAGGAAAGGAGGAGGACAGGTGCGGTAACATTATAGCATTTTTGTCGTGATTTTAGAGAGAAATCACATGGTGCACATTGACACGGCGGGCTGGCTACCAGGAAGGTGATCAAGGACAGAGTTTGACATTCAGTTTTTACACTGTAGTCATGCAACACACACATAGGCTGAAGTATATATATGCACATGTCAGAGTGACGGTGCTCAGGAGGTGATCTGGCACATCTCCAGTTACCAGACTAACTTCCAATGCTTGAACCGCGACCCTCCGGTTCCCAACCCAAGTCCCTACAGACTGAGCTACTGCTGCCCCCCCCCAAAAAGTTATCCCTCCTGCTCATTTCCACAACAAATAAACTGTGCCCCACTGGAAATTCAGTCTTCTTTTTCATCATTTTCTGATGTCTCTGTTGCTCTGTGTCCCCCTGTCCAGCTACCTGGAGGATGCAGTGATGAATCTAGACCATGGCGACCCCATGACAAGAGACCACATGGCGATTGTGTTGGCCCAAGTTAGACCGAAGGTCTTTGCGTTCATGCAACAGGACCCCCACAGCCCACTCAGCAAGAGGGCTCGGCGCCTAATGATGATGCTCCAGGGACTTGTCAACCACTAATCCTTCAAGAAGTTGGGTGCAGAAGAGTTGTCTCTTCATAGTGTAAAATCACAAGCCTATAATTTTTTTTTTTGCAAATGTTGAAGAGGAGAAAGCAACTAGGACAATTTAAGACACTTATTTCTTGGCTGTTGAGGATGGGATTCGCATTGGTTTAAGGTGGAAGATGAGACTTCCTGAATGACAGTTGGTTCCTCCCACTTACAAAAAAGAAAGTTTCCTCCCGTCTTCTTGACGACCTTAAATCATGCTCTTTCTCCCCAGTTCCATTTATCTCCCTGCTGGACCTGCATCAGCCAAGTACCAAGCTATTTAATAGAAACAGCTTTTGTTGGACTCCCTTTTTTTGGTGGATACTTTTCAAAGACAAGAATGCTCTGGACTAGACTCTCGAGTTAACCTTAGATACTTTAGAGGGATTCAGGTTGATCCTCATTTAGTCTCACAGACAACAGCCACACAGATAACCTGTTCCTCATCCACATCTCTGACACACATCACAACTGGCATTTCTTGTATGTCTATTCAACCAAATGCGCATAAACTGAAAGAATGTTGGGCTGAGTGGTCTACAAGATCAAGCATTGTTCTTTTTTTTTTTTTCTTTTTTTTTTTGTTCTTCTGACCAATCTTAAAAACCATGTTAAGTTTTGGTATATAGATTCTAATATAGGTTTTTGTTCTGGGCAAGAGAAGGGAGAAATGTCAACATAAGACTTCACAAAATGTACCTTGTATCTTTGCAGCAAGCTTTGGACACCTTTTTTTTTCATTACTGACCAGCATCCTAACTATCTTGGAATTTGGTTGCTGTAGGAAAACGCTCTCCTATTTTTTTCTTTTTTTTTCCAACCAAGCTAATCCCTGCAACTGACAGTACATGCATCCTTCCCTTTAAGTTATTTCTCAACTGAGAAACAACTGAATTTTTCTGACTATTTCTCAACCTTCAAGGTTGAAGACAGCATTCTGTCCAAACCAAATCTTCTTTGAATCATTTATACTGAAACATAACTTGATTTGTTCCTGTTTTGGAAGTATTTGGGTTGAAAAGCATATCTTGTTATACTTTTTCCATCTAGCCTTGTTTCATAAAATTATACAGTTTCTTAATGAAACACATATAACAGGACCAGAAATAACAATTTGAAATGCAACACATATTTGCAAAGAGTCTGAGAAGGATTCCCTGGTCAAATCTTAAGGTGCCCTAATAAATGTTGGCAGCCGTCCTTGTGTACAGCCCTGTATATTAATCAGACTTCTCTCATGTCTTCTTCTCTATGTGAGTCTCCTTCTTTTTTTTTTTTTTATCAAAACATTTAGTATTTGTAAGACTTGTATACTTGCTTTCACAGTTGTCAAACTAGTTATGAAACATAATTAAACACTTCCTAAATATAATTGTTACTGATTATGCTACTTTATTTGAAAGTTCCAAATAATGTTTGTAAACTGGATGTGCAGTTCCTTCTCTTGAGCTGTAGGAGGCAGCACTTGGACTGCAGCTATTTACCCTTACATTTTGAATTCAGAAGTCATTCCTGCTCAAATAGCATCTGTTATATGAACCATTGCAAAGCTGCCTTTAGGATTTAGGTGCACTGTTTGATCATGTGTGTACGGCTCATTTACACACATGGTTATACTGCAGGGTGGTCACACTGATTCGCTGATTGTAAAACTAAAGTTCTGTTAATTTGACCTGTCTTTAGAAGTATGTTAAGTCGGATGTGTCTAGCAAGTGCCTTATTGTACTCTACATGTCTTACTTTGATAGTTAGAGCAGTCCCATAGAACTTGATTTTTGTCATTCAGAGGTTATAGAGGGTGGTTTTCATCTACAGAAGAGGAGATTCTGTATTATCCGTTTGCAAACATTTGACTACAAAGACAGTTGATTAAGACTGCTATTTTGAATGCTCACAAATAAGAGAGATAAATATTATGTTGACTATTAGCACCCTGGTCTTTCAGTTGCACTCCCAGGTTTGTTGTCCTCTGAGTGGGAGCTGTGTAAGAGACATTAATGAGGCTAGTGTGTAAATTCCTTTATCTCCTCCCATTGTGTTCTGTTCCCTCTGCTTGGATGGTTCTGTTGTATCTTTTACAGTTTATTTTACCCTAAAACATTTTTGGAATAAAAAAAAAAAAGACTTGTTCAGTTTTTTTGTGTCTTAGTTTATTCAATAGATCGAGACGTGGAGCAGCAGCATCATTCCCCTGAGAGAGAGAGAGATTCAGAGCCTGGACGTTCTACACTCGGCAAAAGCAACCAACTACATTTACTCCAAAAGCCCAATTCTGAGGCAATTAAAATGTACTTTCCATTGGAATGCTATTTTTGATTTAACTTCACTACTATTTTGAGTTTTCCTAAGAACTTTACCACTACATATTTTGAAGAACAATCAAGTTTTGAACATTTCCTTCAAGTTTTGAACATTTCCTTCATGGACTAAAGCAACTTTTCGGAACCTGCTCAGCTTGTTTCCACTAATAAAGAAATACAGTAATCCTTTAACAAACAACCATTTTCCCATTTTTATTACATTTTAGAGGGTTCTCCCTGTTCAAGGCTTAAATCTTAAATAGCATCACAAATACAACAATGCAAGTTCGATTAAAAAAAAAAAATAGATGTAATACGTTTTTCCTTCTTTCTCTTCCCATAAATCCACTAATTATTTGGGAACTGAAAAGTCTGATAAAGTCATATTTAGGCACATTGTTCAGGATGCGGTGTAATTTGATATGCATGTAATGTATTTAATGGGGTGTTACATTGCTGCAGCCTACTGGTCTTCTAACTGTACATGTGGAAAAAAAAGAAGTCTATTCGAGCACTGGTAGATCCGAAAAGTTTCCCAGACATCCACTCAGGTCCAGGTCCGGCTCCAGCTCGTAGGAGGGGGGGGGGTGGGGGGCTGTGAGCAGCTTCCCTCCTCCGATCCTCCTCCTCCTCCCCTTTGGCACGGACGCGCCCTCCCCTTTTCTGTGGAGCGGATGAGGCGCACCGTGGATGCTCTCACAGTGGGCAGAGAGCTGCACACGGACAGTCGGGAGCGGGACAGTGCGGACTGCCTTTTCGTTTTTGTTGGAGGAACAACTTTGGAATTGTTGGGTCCACGCTGAAACTTGCGAGGGTGGAGGACGACTTGTGCGGGTCAGCATGGCATCACTGATGAACTCGGCGTGCTCTCTCTTCTTGCCTGTTGCTCTGCTGCTGAGTAAGTGCACCTGATGATGATGATGATGATGATGATGATGATTGAGTGATACTGTTGAAACTTCAACGCAAGACCAATGCACAACTATCGCTCCGGGTTTTGGAGTAGTTTTGGCAGCGAGACATAGATAGCGCGACAAATAACGGAGAGATCGGCTCTTAAGTAGCCTAGACAACGCATCAGAGATAATGTCAGATGAACACATCACCACCTCTAGACTTGACTGCACCTTTTTTTTTTTGCACAGTTAGTTGGGAGGTCCCGTAGATTATTCCCGCATTGCCTAAATCCAGCGGAACATGTTTCACACTGCAGGACCGAACCGGCCGGCGAAAGCTCTTAATAAAAGTAGGTTAAAGGTTGTGAATGCAGCAGCTTGTTTTTTTTTTTTTTTTTCTTTCTTCTGAATGAGAGTAAAGTGGACAGAGGATCATGACGGGGACCGCCGCATTTCTTTTATTTCCAGTCTTGATGCATATTTCATAGTCGCGTAACCACCTGAACCCAAACGAAGTTAACAGAAGAGAAAAGCACAGGTAGCCCACATTCATGTTGAAACGGTAGATCTAACCTCCAGTGTCAAAAAGACATGTGATGCCCAATGCATTGCGAGTTAATAGAAATGTAGGCTACTTGTTCTTTAATCCTGGGGCGTTTACAGGATTTGCACATTGTACTCCCTCATTAGGGAAGTCCTGGGAAACCTGCCTCCGGGCTTTGATGAACAAACTCTTCTTCTGACAAGCATCAACCCTTTTTCATACAAAGGACAAGTCTTAATAATTAAGCACAAATGTTACATATACCTCATATGTCGTTAAGAAATTAAGTATAAATTGTGTTAAGTTAAAGTAGAACTAAATTCATTCTCCAATTCATCTTTTTTTTTTTTTTAAATAGTTCCGACTCTATTTTTCCTCACAATAAACCATTCATGCAAATATTTCTATCAGAACTAAATCAGAACAAAAATCGATAACAGTGATGTACAAAAACTCTAAAAGCTTAAGAGCATTGTTTTCTTTTTAAATCAATTATCCTTTCTTCAGTGTTTCTTTGTCTTAAGAAATGTATTCGTTTTTTTGATGAGCTGACAAACGCCTAGTTCTGAATGAGTTTTACTTCCAGGTGATATATAACATTAAGACAAGTTAAATTACTGGTTCGCTTACGTTACTTAAATGAAATATTAAAAGAGGGTTTTTTTTTTCCTCTTAAATTTTCAGATAGGTCATGCACTGTGATGTGTTCGCTGTTTATCTTCCCATCATCTGCTGCTCCTTCTCTCTTATCGGTCGCCCTTACCTTCTCCACTGTCTCTCTCTCTCTCTCCATCATAGGCTGCCAGTCTCAATTTCCTGTTCACCAAAAAATCCTGCTAAAGGAAAACAAAGTATGCCATGAGATCAAGCCCTATCTCGTGCAAGCCCAACATCACAGCTACAATGATCCCTCCGTTTATTACAGAGATAATCAAACTGTCACGCCACACTTGTAACACATTTCATTTTTTTAAATCAGGTTTTCATTCGTGTTTAAACTTCTAAGGTCTACACTCTAAACGATCAGGGCATTATTATGAAGGTGAAGTCCTGCAGATATTCTATTTTTATTCTGAGCTCTTGCAACATTGGTGGACGCAATATATATTTCTGTAAACTAATGGTTATAATCAATCAGAGGTCAAGATTTTCAATTTTTAGTCCCAGAAACTTGAGTCAGTGTAACTCCAGTTACACAAATCTTATTGTTGTATTTTCAGAGCTCCTCAAGAGCCAGAAAGCACAGGGAGGTCGAGGGTTCGATCCCCAGCTCCTGCAGCTACATGTCCCATGTGTCCCTGGGCAAGACACTTAACCCCGAATTGCTCCCACTGCTTCGACAGCGTTGTATGAATGTGTATGAATGGGATTAGTTACTTCTGATGGTCTCACTATATCAACCACTGCCATCAGTGTGTGAATGTGTAGGCGTGACATGCGGCGTGGAAGCGCTTACCATTTAAAGCAGGTGAAGTGGCACTTTAAATGAACAAAAATACTGAATAACATTGATATTTTATGATTCTCTAACTGATGCCAATCCAGCCCAGACTACAAAACATGTTATAAACCGTGAGCTTCAACATTTGTATCAGCCTTGATCATCATCAATGCTGCAGCTGACGTCAGAGCAGTGAAGGTGAGGGCTTGCAGGGAATGAGGTGTCCCATGGGAGTGTGACACCTTAGGGAAAAAAGAAAAAGAAAAAAAAAAATCCCACCAATGAAGATAAATGATAAATGAATCACATCTGCCCCCATCTCTACTCGGCAAAGTCTCTGGAGATTCTGCTTTGAATCTGCACCTGACTGGGAATCGCTCCTCTGCTGATGTCTGTCATCTCCCCTGTTCACTCCCTCTGTCCCTCAGCTCAGTCATGTCACCAACAGGGGAAGGGTATCATATAAATATGAGCTGAAACTGTTCCTTACAAACTGTGTGCGTGTGAGATAAAATGCACATTTTGTTAATGAGCTATCCTACCGTTCCCCTATACAAACATATCTGATCTACATCTTCATATTTCAAAGTAAACCATGAATGTACTTTTATCTTATTTGATAAGTGCAGTATTTATAGGTGTCTTTGATCACGCTGTGCCTTTACAGAAATAAACCTACATTTATTTCAGTGAACGTTTTCCACTGTAAGTAATCAGCCCCCAGGGGATCAATTCTTCAGTACAAACACATCATTCCTACAAAACTTACAAAAATTCTCTCTGAAACATTCCTCGAAGGAAAAATGTGAAAGGCTTCTATGCAAGAAATTGTGACAGTTTAATCTGCTGAATACAAGCGAAAATTCAGACACTTAAAAGCCTTAAAAAAAAAACTCCACAAAATCTCAGACTGGCAGTGGCTGTGCTGCATTTCAGCCTGTTTTAGGTTTAGTGTCATTCCGAGCAGTATCAAGGGGGTTGTGCTCTTGTTTCTCTAGAAATAAGAAACAGGAAGCGAGACATGGCTTACAGATTATGTTAAAAATTTAAAGTCACTGAACAATTTTCTTTTTTTGCCAAAAAATATTAGCAGCAAGAAAGAAACAAGGATGCAGAATGGTGCAGAGTTGGTTCCCTCTGGGTTTCCTCCCCCAGTACAAAGACACGCTCATGAGGTTAATTGAGGAGTCTAAATGGGCGTGAGTGATAGTGTTAGCTGATGTTTGTCTCTATGTATCAGCCCCATTATAGACTGGCAATCTGTCTAGGGTGTACCCTGCCTCTCCCCCAGTGACAGCAGGGTTTGGCTCCAGCCCCCCGTGATCCCCAATGGGATCTGCTGTATAGATATGGAATAAAGGAGAATGTGTAGATAATAAACCGTTAGCTGCTTCAGTTTAAGGGTGGGGATTTTGTTCTTGCTGGTTCACTTTGATTTATCATGACTAACAATCAGAACAGAGATACAACATGCAACAAAAGTGTTGTAAAGAAAAAAAGGACTACAGCGGGATCAATCATGATTTGAATAGCGCTAATTCATAAGAAATGTTATCTCAGGACACAAAAGACCGTACTCTTTGTTATATTATTACAAAGACCCAGGCAGAAACCTCAAGCCAAACCCAGACTCATGTTGAACCGCCATCTGCTGAGACTGTTGGGGTTTAGAAAGTAGAGGGAGATGCAGCAGGCCGTCCACTCCAATGATCCAGAGGAACCCATGACAAGGAAGCTCAGGAGCTCTGATAACTGAAGGCTCTACCTCCCATAGTACATTTAGAGACCGTAGGTACCACGAGCAGGCCTGATAACTGAAGGCTCTACCCCCATAGTACATTTAGAGACCGTAGGTACCACGAGCAGGTCTGATAACTGAAGGCTCTACCTCCCATAGTACATTTAGAGACCGTAGGTACCAGGAGCAGGCCTGATAACTGAAGGCTCTACCTCCCATAGTACATTTAGAGGCTGTAGGTACCACGAGCAGGCCTGATAACTGAAGGCTCTACCTCCCATAGTACATTTAGAGGCGTAGGTACCAGGAGCAGGTCTGATAACTGAAGGCTCTACCTCCCATAGTACATTTAGAGACTGTAGGTACCACGAGCAGGCCTGCATTCTGGGAGTGTAATGTTCTCAAGGGTAATAAGTCACGATGAGCTCTTTTAGATAAGATGGTGGCTGGTCATTAAGAGCTTTGTCGGTGAGAAGAAGGATTTTAAATTCTATTCTAGAGTTTATAGGGAGCCAGTGCAGAGAAGCCAATACAGGAGAAATTTGATCTTTTTCCCTAGTTCAAGTCAGTACACGAGCTGCAGCATTTTTGGACTAGCTGAAAAGTCTTTAGAGACTTACTAGGGCAGCCTGATAAAAGAGAATTACAATAATCCAACCTGGAGGTAACAAATGCATGAACTAGTTTTTCTTCATTGTTTTGCGACAGGATATTCCTGATTTTAGATTTATTACGAAGGTGAAAACAGGCTGCCATTGAAATGTGTTTTGTGTGGGAGCTGAAGGACACATTTTGATCAAAAAGAACTCTCAGGATGCCTCTGCTATCTGCAAGAAGAGACTAGAACAAACATAATCATATTTAACTAATGGTCATTTTAAATAGATTAAATACAACTTTCATAGAAAGCCTACAAAGTATTCATTACTCATTACTGATAATCATTCATTTTGAGATAAAAACACAGTGTAAAGAAATGCATTTGCAACCCCACTATGTGGTTAATGTGGGATACTTCATTAATTACTTATGCACTAGGTAGGTATGTTGCTGGAATATGTTGCTGCCACTGTTTACCAGTGGCAGCAACATATTCACTTTTAAGACTTGAGTGATACCAAGTCCTCCTCATGCTCTCAACAAGATAGCCAATAGTTGTGTTTCCCAAACGTCAGAAGGTTTCTCTGAAGTCACCTCACAGAAGGGTTACCGGTATTTAAAAATGCGGCATTTATAAAACAGTTTTCCCTTTGCCATCTCAGATTCTACCAGAAAAGCT